AATAGAATATATCCGGTATTAGAACAATAACCTTCGTTGTGGCCAATATGCCAGTTTGATATGGATTTGGCCAGAGCCCCTCGTCGCGCTCCGTTGACCGCGTAAGAAGGGCCCTGGGTACGAGAATGTATCCTATATAAAGTTAGTTTTCGAAAGTATAACATGTCGTCCAACAGTATCGAGTGCAAATTGCTGTTGCCTTTAGCAGTTTAGGAGTACTAACTTTTGCCGTCCAAACGGGGTCGAATCACTTGGTAAAAAATTGAAACATATATTCTTAAATGTCCTAAATGCAAAAGTTGTCTTATTTTCAGGCTGCTATTGGTGCAATTTCATTAGAAACCGCCCGAGAACAGGGTTATACTGGAAAGCCTGAAGAGGAATATGGCAAAAATGTAAGTCAGTATCGTAGAATTAAAGGTTTTGTGCAGGCTTTTGTGAAATGAATAAACGTGGTGTTTTCTATAAAACAGGACAATTATAATTATATTTTGTATCTAGCTTTCTGTTTTTTAATTCATCAGCATGCATATTTTCTCTTATTTTCCATATTTGCAGATTTTGACATTGGCTGTGCTTGTGATTTTACTAACCGCGCCCTTAGGTGCTATAGGGATAGCTGTAACTGGTCCCAGGCTCTTACAGAGAGAAAAGAACGCGGTCAACCCTGTGACGTCAGAGGAGGAGCAAATAGGATTAACTGCTGATACAGCGATATAAACATGAACCATTGAAATATAAACTATGGAATGACTGAAAATATTATAAGATCCTATCTGTAAAAAAACTAAATTTTATATTTATGTGAAATTATATATATATTTATCGATTGAAGTGTTGTATTATCGCAAATTCGAAATAAATAAACCTGGTGCTGTCCACAAAGAAAATGAGTTATAACGCAAATTGAAAAATGTGAAGATATATATGCCTGACTTTAGATTTAGTACAGTTATATAAGTGGACAAAATTTAAAGAAATGATATAGTTGTTTAAAGGAATTTCATTGATATACATGAATTTACAGAATTTCTATATTTACCATATTTTGACAGCTTACACTCCCGATTGCTTTATATGCTTTTTGAAGAAGCTCGTCTCTTCAATGATGGCTGAAACTAAAAATATAAAAGCGAATGACCATACAGTAAGATATTATTCTCGAGACTTAGAAACCGACGTACCAGGAGAAAACCTGTGGTGTTTGATAGAGTCAAACTGGAAGCAATCTTCTCACATGCAACTGAGGTGAAATTATAATGAGACGACTGCATATTGCAGGAATCAAACCTCGGTCACAGTACTTACCGGGTGTCCCAAAAAAAACTGAACATTGTTTGATTTCATGTAACGTAAAAGCTATCGCAATGAAATAAAGATCATTCCATTCAGAAAGGACTTGAATTTACATGCAATATTGAGCGAGAGTACAACCAAAATAAAAATATTATTTAACAAGTATTTAAACTACATGCTAATTTTTAGCATTTTCAAAAACTGTAGTTCAACGTTCAAACATCAATAGCGCAGTCAATATTGCATGTAAATTCAAGTGCTATATATCAAAATCTAAGTTCTTTCTGATTGCAATGATCTTTATTTCATTGCGATAGCTTTTATAGCTTTTACGTTACATGAAATCAAACAGTGTCCGGTTTTTTGGGACACTCTGCATGTCAGTGATGAAATGCACATGCACTAACCACTGTGTAGTTCTTAAGTATAGTATATCATGAGCGGCCGTGTTGTATCAGACATACAGACTCGAGCCGAAGACGACAGGCTTGTATATAATTTGTGAGACGTAAAGATTTCAACAGTTGTGTTCGAAGAAATTATCCAAAAAGGAGTGGTTTTAACTGAGAAAATCGAGGGGAAAATTTCTGCACTGAATAGGGAGAATTTTGTATGTGTTGATGCAACAACTCATTAAACATTAAAACTTATTGTGAATTAAACAACTGAGTCACATATTATTAGCACTGATGAAGATCCGGGCTTACGGATCGAAAGCTTTGCAGTAATAAATTTACGTGGTGTTTCCACAAACAAAACCTATTATATTTTATCACCATGCAAACATACAAAGAACTCATTAAACATTGTTTTTGAATTTTAATTTCTTCGTGAATTTATACTACACAACTTTTGCCTAAAACTGTCACATGCAACCTGCTTACAACTTGAGTTGTAGTTACTGTGTAAATCAAGCACACAACTCGGCTACGACAGGGTAAGTGAGTTGTGTGCTTGATTTACACAGTATTGTCGTAGGTGAGGCACAAGCCCCCATCTACATACCAAATCCATTTTCGTGGTGTCTTTGTCCCGACGTTTCCACATCCAAGCATTCCTCGTGTTTGACAAGAGCGCCATTCGCAATCCCGTTCTTTTTACAATAAAACAGAGACATCTCTCGCTCAGCATTCGTAACCAGAATCCTATCCTTCAGTACCCTCAACTCTCTCTTCAAACCCTGATTTTTATTTTTGACATTCCTGAAATCCTCCTGACAAATGGCGACCGCTCGCTTCAGAGATTCTATGCAACACTGTGTTACTTCTTCATTGCTCTCTTTCACCAGTAACTGTTCTTTTAAGTAGCGACATTCTTGTTCCCGGCTTTGGATACTATCTTGTAACGTAGCCAAACTATCATCATAGATTCCTTTAATCACAGAGAATAGTTTATAACCATAGAACGAGGATAACATTCGATCAGGGTGATGATGGTCATTGCTCAAATCCGGATTCTTTTCGCTTTCAGAGCTTGTAGATTTCTCCACTAAACACTGGTTACTTTTCTCAATCTTTTGGCTCAAATCCTCAGCGAGTTGTGACAATTGTTTCAAACGGCTTTCCAAATTGCTAAGTCCTTGAAAATTGTCCGTATTTTGAGCTACTGTCATCGACTTAGCTTCTGTTTTCGGATTTCCAGTACGAGTGAAATTGGCTTGATAGCCTTGTAAAGTTGTAAGCTGTGTCTCCGAGTACGACCTCCTTCGCTGCTTTAAATAGTTCTGTAGTTTTCCTAACTCTGCACTTGCTAGGGGTTTTTCCTCGCGAGGCTTCAGTTCAACTTTAGTCGCCCTTTTCTCGTTTCGCTTAGAAATTTCTTCACATCTTTTCTTCCATTTAGAACAATCTTCCTGAAGCATTTTATTTTCTTGCATTAGACTGTCATTCTTTCTCTGCAAATCTTTAGCCTTAACTTCAAATTCAGTTCTTCTAAATTGTACGCCAGTTTCCTCCACCAAATCATATTTTCCTTTCGTCTCCTTTAATAGAGTTTCCAGACTAGCAGAACGCTTGAGAACCCTCCCTAGATTTTTCTCTGCTTTCTGTACTTTTGATATAGCTTCTTTATACCCGCTTGATAGTTGATGAAAATCTTGTTTCATCCGGTTTTGAATTTCACCGACCATATCCTTATCTGCTGTCTGATATAAGTTCCCATAAAAGTTCTTAAAGTCATCTGAAAGTGATTGCCTTCTTGTTTTTAATGAGGCAACAATGGCTTCTGGATTTTCTTCGATGTCAACTTCAAATTTATCATCCAACCCAAGTTGTTTGGCAAGAGTTTCAAACAATGCTTTAATTTCGTTGTTAATTTCCTGCATAACTTTGATGTACTTTTCCCCTTGTTTTTTATAGCTGTCAATTGTACTTTGGAGTTCTGAAATTTCCGAATTTCTGTCTTGTAAATTGTTTCCGAGCTCTCTAACTTTCCGGCCTAATTCTGAAACTTTTTCTTCCTTTTCGTTTGAAACTGAAGCCAAGCTTCCTTTCAAACTGTTTTCGTTCTGATAGCATTCTCTGATAAGGACCTACATAGGCAGATAGGAAGGTAGAACGATATTTAAATACGTTGACTGAGGTCGTGAAAGGGAAAAATGAAAGCTCGAAGTTTTCACTTGGAAAATGGAGATTTAGGTCACCACCAAGAGTGGAGACGTACTCTGAGATGGTAATTCGCCTAAACTCGCCATGATTTAATGCCAGTTTAGACGACGTAAGGCGATTTAAGGCGCGTTAAGATCCCACAGTTGGTCAGAAATGGATTTGCACCAGCAATTTTGCTGCAGGCAATGGCATAAAGCGAATATATCAGTGTCTCAGATGATTGGAATTCCATAAGACTCTTACGAGAAGCTTTATAGTTTGTTACCTGGAGACGATTGTGTTCTTTATGCATATTGACGTTGTCCTTTCGCCAAGCTTTGATTTCATTGTATTGCTCTTTGCTTCTGTTTACCAGTTCTTCGCATTGCATTGCGTACTTGCGAATCACGTTTTTAAGATCCTATGGAAAACATAATCCAGTGTTACACAGGAAGACACCGGAACTAAAATATATTCATCATACTGGATAACTCTATACCAGTTCTAAACTGTTCTCCCTAGAGGTCTAGTAAGTTTTAATTCTTGTTGGTCCAGCGTTACTACAGCTAAAAAAAAACGGCAAGCAAGGGTGTTCGACAATATACTATAAATTCATGTCTGCAAAATAAGCCTTTTTCTATACCTGAAGTCTCAGATCGCAATCGCATTCTCTCTTTCTCATCTTCTTTCCTACAACACAACAATATTGCAATTATTACAATTGTGCTTTTCTGATTTGCCTGGAAATTTACATTGGAAAAGAATTCGGTTATCTTCTTCTAAACTTTATTAACATTTAATTTTATACTAAATGTTCAAAACATTATCGATTCAATATGGCTGCAGGAGAAATTAGAAACCTAAACTAATTAAACCCAGTGGCGTAGCGCTCATTGGGTAGGGTTAGTTAAAAAACTAAGGGCCCCCGACAGTTAGGGGCCCCATCACCCACGGCCTATCGCCCAGAAAATTAGAAAATGTAAAAAATGCAGGTTAAGAATCAATGGGAAAATGCAAAATTAATATAAATGCTAAATAATAAAGCCTCCATCGACAACGGTAGCTGATTTTTTAATTCCATCTCAAATAAAACAAGAGTTATTCTTATTAGTTGTTACATGTGTTGGAGACTGTTATTGTTATAGACATGGAATTTTCCAGAACATTTTATAAATATTCAATATAAATATAATATCTCAGTCAAACAATGACAACAGGGGCCCCCACACCAAATATGCCTAAGGGCCCCCTGTTCCTCCGTTACGCCACCGATTAAACCACTGTCTAGTTCTATCAGTTTGAACTAAGCCCTATCAGTTCAAAACTGCTCTTCCTAGAGGTCGTGTAAGGGTCATCGCCATTTTTGAAGAAATAAACATTTGTTTGTAGCAATCAACAAACGATTGGACTGAGGCAAAATTTTAAATAAGACTTTTAAATATATTGCAGGAATCAAACTTCCGGCGCATAATTGAATGGCAGGTGCAATGTTCCATCAAAACTTATTTACCTTCATTCAAAACAACCTCCATCTGTCCATCACTTTCACTGTCACTGTCCACCTGATATCTTCTTTCTCCACTTTTACCTTTCAAATTTTCATCACTCCTCCGCATTGCCAGTGGGCTCATGGGACGGTCTGAACTCGATGGTGTCAATTTCAGACGTTTTGTGTCTAGCATCGACTCGACTTGATGTTCGCGGTAGAGCAGTTGTCCGGACGGCGTTAGAAAACGTTTCTCTAAGCTTGAGCCAGTGGAAGCAATAGAGTCTAGAAAACAAGTTGTGAAAAATAAGCCATGTTCATTAGAATAAGCTGCCGCGGTTCGTGTTTGAACTACATAAAAAAGTATCTCAAATGTGGTTGTCCAATGGAGGGAGTATTCTACAACAAGCTGTACGTCGTAGTTTGTGTCTGAACTACCTGGAAAAGATATCTCAAACGTGGTGTTCCAGTGTAGGTAGTATTGTACAATAAGCTGCCGTGGTTTGTGTCTGAACTACTTGACAAAGGATCTCAAACGTGGTGGTCCAGTGTACTGTAGGTAGTATTCTACAATAAGCTGTCGTAGTTTTGTGTCTGAACTACCTGAAAATGATATCTTAATATCTCAAACGTGGTAGTCCAGTGCAGGTAGTATTCTATACAATAAGCTGCCATGGTTTGCGTCTGAACTACCTGAAAAAGTTATCTCAAACTTGGTATCTCAAACGTGGTGGTACACTGTATGAATATTCCACAAAAAGCTGCTGTGGTTTGTGTATGAACGAAACAACAGAGGGACATACAACCTCGTACACAGGGCTTCTGAGGGACATACCTCTCCATTCTCGTTCCCAGTTCCCTACAATGAGCTCGCTCTCTGATGCGACATCTGAATCCAAAGTATCCTGGGATAGCGATGATGACGTCATATTTCCATCGAGCGGAATGCTAATATTCGACTCCAGGAAAATTTTCATCGCCTCGTCTCCTTTCTGCTGTTGTGTTGCCATGGCATCCTCATCTGATTCGTCATCACTCGATGTTGGTAAATTAGACATTTCCAGCACACTCTCCGGTCTACGTACTTCATGTTGTAGTTCCTCGATGGCTCGAGGTCGAGGACAAATGGTGGCACAGGTTATATCCGTAGACGAAGGGTGAAGATGGAATATTTCGCTGAAACTGCGAGTGTGGTGTAATTCAACGTTACGTTGCGGTGATGATTTTGTGCTTCGCAGGTTTTCTTGTTTTATACAGTTTAGTGGGTCGACATAAGTGTGGCTCTGGCTTGAATCTATTGTGTCGGCGTCGTTGGAATTATTTTCTAAGCGGTCTCTCTTCCTTTCCATATTTCAATCCCTTCTGCAACTAAAAATTTAAACGGATTTGTTTTCAAATCATTGCCCTGATTTATAGTCTAGAAATGGATGATCTGTCTGGATGAACTTGTACAAAGAAAACATAGTTCGCAGTGGCGTAACGTTATATCAGGGAGCCCCCGGTTCAAAATTTTCGAAGGCCCCCCTAGTAGAAGTACCAAAGGCACGAGTCGAGCGCCGTATATGCACGAGTTTTCTAGGGGTCCAGGGCATGCTCATCCGGAAAATTTTTGAATCTAGACTCTCTGAAATGCCATTTCCTGGACTTTGGGGAGAGATTTTACAGAATTCTGATGGTCATAAAACGACATTGTAACATATCAGAGGCCCTGGCCAATGTTTTTGCTCTATCGCCTAAGCCTGGGGGCCCCCATTTGGGTTGGGGGCCCCCGGGTTCTCCCGGTATGAGCCCATAGTAGTTACGCCACTGATCGTTCGTCAAAAGCTAGTATGTTAGTTTTTGAAGAAGTGTACAGTACATGTCATAGAAAAACGTGGCAAAGTTGACTATACAGTATGAAAATTTGTCATAGAAAACTTGCTCGACGTCTGAAAACAGGCTTAAACGCGGCAAATAAGGGAATGATCTTGAACTGTCTGTGCCAGTGTAGGTATCGCCAATAATATGAACAAGCTTTCGTTGGTAGGAATGCAGCTACCTGAAAAATACAAGCCACCAGGAGAATTTCAACGTTTCGAGCGAAGGCCCTTCGTAACTCCAGACGAAGGGCCTTCGCTCGAAACGAAGGCTTGTTCAAAATAAGTGAATAATTCGTCATGACAAACTATAGGCGTAGTTCATTCACCCAGACAAACTCCCTGCATATTCATCTTCACATCGATGATACTGTACGTCTATGTGTGTATAAATCGGTATGACACGAACTCTCATGCAATCTTATGTTTACATCCTGGTTTAAGGCTGGTTTAGGTTTACACTATCAAAGTTTCTGTGATCACAGCAGGACTTTTGCATGGGTAAATTCTAAGTTTTGTAGGATTTGTAAGAAATGTTTGGGAACTGTTTATTAATAACACCATGGATAATAAAATAAATGGATAGGACTCTAGCTGACGTAAGCAGAAACAACCTAGTTGCAATCTGTGACGTCACGCGTATTGCAAAGTTCTCGGCATTTTTGTTGTTTCGCTATACTTTCCGCTTTAAATTAAAAGAGTAATATTGAAGCATATACTGGTCTAATTGTTTTACAAACATGCCTAAGCCACGACAAAGTATTCAAGGTAAATGTTTTTCGTCTTTGTTTTGTATTTTTTTACATTTGTAGCAACGAAATTGGCGTCCCCAATTTTAACGAAATTTGGGACGCCTTTTTCACTGTTTAGTGTTTGAAATATTTGCTAAAATTGACTGGGAATACTTAGAGATTTCATTGTAGAATGGCGTAGTTATATTCATTTGCTCTTTGACTAAAATGTTTAGCTGTATTATTGCTAAACATGCCGTTTTTGAGAATTTGGTTTGCAACTAGGTTTCAACATCCAATCACGCCATCAGCCCATTGAAAACATTAGATCACGTCAGCTAGTTTCCTATCCATTTATTTTATTATCCATGATAACACTGAGTCAGATCCCTCGAACATTTCTCACTAAGAAAGATGACCAATTTTCACCGAATGATTAGCAGTGTCTTTCACTTACCAAATTCAAACTGTCATGAACATCCAAATACCTTCCTGCATTCTACGCTACAGCTCCTAACATATACTGTTACGGCAACCCAACATTTTGTTTGCGCGCCCCAATTGTTACGTCACTTGATTAACATGTCCCGCGTTCGATCGCGCGCAGAAGGTATTGGATAAATTATGAAGTCGGAACAAAATGAGGAAGCACATTGCTGTATGCGAGTAATTTGCTCAAAAGATATATTGAAAAATTTTTTATTAAATTTTCATTTTATAAAAAGTACACATGATTAGTTTTATCCTGACCTCATTTTATACTAGAAACGGATGTCCCGTCTACGACAGATTAGAACTTATTGGACTCTAGTATAAATCAGGTACCGGTTGTTCAAAGCTGGATTAGCGCTAACCCTGGGTTACAATTTAACCCGCTCGTTTGGTCTGGGTACACCAGCAAATCAGTCTATTTCAACACTTTAGAAAATAGCACTCCTATTGATTCGGACAAGATTTCTAAAGAAATATTTCCAATTTTTAAAACAGGACGTTGGGAAGATTACTTGGAGGTTTTTTGTTAATCTAGGATTAAGCTAACTGGCTTTTGAACAATCGGCCCCAGAAAAAACTATTTACAGATTTATACAGTCGCATGAAGCTCGTTCTCTAAAGCGTTCACTAAATCTTGTACAGAAATCTCCTGTCCTAACATATCTTCAACTAGCTTCCTAGGGTCCCTCCCTCCACCGTATTTGAGAAATGTCTGTCTGTATCTCTCCCCCGCCTCCCTGGACAGAGGGTCATCCTTAAACCATTCATTCCAGATACGAGATGCGACAGCTCGACACCATAAGTAAGAGTAGTATCTTCCAGCGTAGCCGCCATGTAGATGTGAGAATCTTTGCTGCCAAGATGTTCCTGAACAATAAAACCATTGGAGGAACAATAGTTAGTTGTAATAGGCATAAAAATGACTAAAGTTTAAAATTCAATAAAATTTCATTGTGTTACCGTGAAAATATTCTACTAACTGTTTTTCTAGCCATAGGTCTGAATTTAAACCATGCGAAAGACTTATACCTCACTAAGTCACTGCGAATCAGAGATTGAGCATCGCAAGGTTTAAATTAACCCCTATGGCTACAAAAACAGTTGGTAGAATATTTTTATGAAATGAAATTTTATTGAATTTTAAACTATTTTAGTCATTTTTATGCCTATTACCACTAACTATTGGACCTCCTATGAATAAAACAGGTCTTTTTACAACCATAGACCAAGCAAATTGATGAAAGCAAGAGACATAGACTTCCTTCAGTTGAATAGTCTGATGTAGAATGAGGGAGAAAAATAATAGTAAAACGCATTCAGACACAAATAGGTCATTCCAGAAAAGATCCACACTCCCCCTATGGAGAAAATTTCCGCTGTCCAGGGGTGTGAAAAATTTACTTCTGGTATTTTACTGTAAATAGTGAGGCTGTTTCCTCCGTGGGGGAAGTGTGGATGTTTTCGGGGGGGGGGGGGGCAATATCACTAAATGAGGGAATGTTGAAATCTTATTTGCATCTCATTACGTCTTCAATCAAAATTATGAGTTATTTTCTAAATATCAGCTCATCTTTATCCACAACATTATCGACAGTTCATACCTTCAATATAGGGACTTGACATATACTTCATCTGCAACTCTTTCAGAATTTCTGTTGTAGTTTTACCAAGTGGATGTTTGCTGTGATATGTTTGATCGACCATTGAATAAAACACTTGTGTTTGCATTTCTAGTGATGAGAACAAACTTCTTGATTGACACAACTTTTGGACAGCTTCTTCCGGCAGTGGCTTCCCGGAACGATAGTGCCGACCAACTTGGGAGAGGATTGTAGGATTCCAAACATAGTATTCCATCAAGATAGACGGCACTTCCACAAAATCTGTTGCCGTTCGTGTGCCAGTTATGTGTTGGTATTGTGTCCTCCCGAGCATTGAGTGCATAGCATGACCCATTTCATGGAAAAGGTTTTCAATCATGCTGTGCGATAGCAACGTCACTTTCTGTTGTTGAGGTGGAGGGAAGTTACATACGATGGATACAACTGGGGATTGGTATGAGCCATCAGGAAGTTGACAACCACCTAATGTACATCACAGAAAATTAAAATACTTCATTCATACTCAGGTAGCCTGCACCCTTCTCCTGCAGAATACAGTACCCAATAATCATTGATACGGATGTCCAATGATTCAATAAGGCAGATCATTGGTTAACACTTTACTGTAAATGGCAATGCACCCTGATGCACCCTATGTTATTATTTTACTCTGTCTTATGCCAGATAATTTTACTTGTCAAGGGGAGAGTACTGCCAATCAATGGGTTAAGATGCAGCATTGGCCTCAGTGTGGGTTAAGATGCAGCATTGGCCTCAGCATTGACCCCAGGCCTTAAAATATCGGTCGGTCACGAACATTGTCCGACCCATTCGTGAAATTGTCCGATGTAGAAAGGAAACCACCGGACCTTTTGTCCGACCAAAGTGAAACTGAGGTTTATTGTTTGTCCGACCCGAGTGTATTGGTGTCCGACCGAACTGTAGCTTTGTCCGACATAAATCAAAATGTACCCTAGCCCAGGACTAGAGGCTTGTATGTTAAATGGACAATCAGAGTACTATTGTATAAAACTAAAAGGTCAACTGGAAATGTTGTTTTAACGTAGTTGAGCGTGGGGCAGCGAACAAAATGGTGAAGTGGAAAACGAGCTTAAGTTGTCGAAGTCTTTTTTAATACTGCTGTTCTGGAAAGCAAGTTAATTTTGGCTTGGAAATAAGTATGAAAGGAACAAATTATTTAATATCTTTACAACATTTACCGTTTATTCATTTGTGTCATTCAGACTTATTTCCGAGTCAAAAGGTCATCGGACATATGTCCAACCCAAATTCAACGTCACCGGACATTTTGTCAGACGGCCCTGTAAAAGATATTTTAAGGCCCGCCCGACCCTCAGGGTCATTCCAGAAAACATCCATACCACCCCCATGGAGAAAACATCCATACCACCCTCATACCACCCCCATTTCCCATCCCCCTCCGGACGGCAGAAATTTCCTCCGTGGGGGGAGTATGGATCTTTTCTGGAACGACCCAATGCAAAACAAACTATCCAGACAAACCAACTAGAATAGCACAACCTATACTACCAAGGACAAATAAAACCTTATAAAACATCAGTCCATATCATTCTCATTTGCTAATAAAAATTCCAACATACATACCTCTGATGGTAAAATGACAATCTTGCTGAACTTTATTGTCTCGATAGTACAGATCACAATATATGTATCCCAGAATTCCCTCATCCTCATGTTTCACTGTAAGCTTGACAACCAAAGGATGCCACACCTCACCTGGCTTAGGTTCAGTAGGTTCAAGGGTGATACCATAGATTCTCTGAAATATCATATTCAACCCTTCCATACATGTGCCTAACGAGAAATACTCATTAAGCATAACAGGAAAATTTTGCACCAATTGGGATTTGGCAAGGCCGGTAAAATATTGCGTATCCCATGGCATAATCGCTCCATCACTATTATTACCCTGCTTGAAGTTTGTTAAGAGTTTGTTATCATTGCTAACTACTGGTTGAATCTTTTTCGCTAACATTGTTAAAAACTCATTAACAGTTTCTGGTGTTTCAGCCATGGTACCTCTTAATGACCGGCTTAGAAATGATGGAAAACCAACCAACTTTGCTAAGTTGTGTCTAGCTTCTAAAAGATCGTCTAAGACAGCTAACTGGGTCGGATTTGAATGCATGTAAGCTTTATATACAATTTCTCGGAGTTCGGGATCAGGTAAATCATAACATAGGCCATCTATTTGTATATACTCATCATCTGACTGGAACCCATGTCTAACATTACTTGGCCAAAACTTCTTCGGGAAGTGAGTCGGTGCCGAGGTGCCTGCTACAAATTGACTCCCTAGACGCAAGATACTATCTTGAAGCTTAACAAACTTGCTTCTTTTCAAAGCGTCTAAATGGATCCCGCTTTGTTCAAAATCAAATACTAACGATTCTGCAACATGTCTGCTCTCTTCATCAAGTTCTGAAGCACTTGTGCTCTGTAACGAGCTCGTTAAGGCATTATATAGTTCAACATTAGTATTCAGCTTCTCAACAAAACCATTAATAGCAAGGCTCGCTTCGCCAGCAGATCTCTGGTACTCTGTGTTTGGGTGAGTCAACCTTACAAATTCTGCCAAGTCAGCAACATTGCAAATCGTGTTTGATAAATGATCAAATTTTGTGATCAAATTTACAGCCGATTTTTGGCCATTTTTAATCTCTCTTGCCAAGCACAGCGCATCATCTACTAAACCTTGAGATTCACTCAACACTTGCTTGCAAAGTACACTAAACCCAGAGCTATCGTATAGTTCAGGAACCCCGAATAAACCGGTAGTTTTTGGTAGAATAAATTTCGATCGCTGAGTGTCAAAAGCGTGCGTCAGTTGTCCCCACGTTGAAACTGCTTTTGAATTTCCAAACAGTACAGTGGCTCCTAAAATCCTTTTCCTTATAAATGCACCTTTGGAAATGTCCCCTCTTAACGTAGATAAAAACATACTTTCATTTTATTTTCAACATTCTCACATCCGAGCTCACATCTGCCCACTTTCGTGTTTTTTTTGGCCGCGTTGATATAAAGTGGACTGGGTCTAGTATGGTCACGTGCCGTGTGAACCGTTTTGCGCAAAATATTTTAATTAATTACAGTCAATTTCAGCGGACTTTTCATCGTAAGATTCCGAACTTCGTTCCGAACTTCGCAAATTCGTTGCCAAGTTCAAAAGTTCATAATGAAATTCACAAACAGGTTTGTAAACTGGGCATTTGATTGGTTGGTTTGATTTAATAGCCAATCAGAGGCTTTGTTTACAAACCTGTTTGTGAATTTCATTATGAACTTTTGAACATGGCAACGCCGGAATTTGCGAAGTTCGGAACGAAGTTCGGAATCTTACGATGAAAAGTCAGCTGAAATTGACTGTAATAAGCTTCGGGTATAGAACCGACGCCATTGTGGCATATTGTGGCCATTTGTGGGGTGGATGGGAATTGGGTGAACTGAAAAAATGTATGTATTTTCAAAACATGCGAGTTTCACTCAGCTTAATGAGCTTCGGATTTCTATTAATTTAATTATAAAATATTTTTCAAAACATGCGGTTCTATGACGTGAAATACTAGAAATCTACCAACTCAGACTTGTTGCACGCGCGATTTTTTCTGCCTTTCTTTATCACTTTCATGACGTCATTAATTTCACAAAAAATGGCGAACAACGGAAAACAGTTACAAGTCAGAATCGCTCCGAGTCCAAGATGTAAGAGCTGTACACCACGACTAGATATGGACCCACAAAATGTCAAAGCATCGGCATGCATGAAAATATTATCAGTTCTTGGTCACAAATCACTGGACGAAAAGCTTCTGCAACACGACATCAGACGAAAGCGATCAAAAAGCGCAAGATTCGTGCGCAATTTTATGTCAAAAAGTCTTTCTGCAGCGAAAACGCCAGGATTTGGGAAAGAGGACTTAGAAAAACTATCCATAGAGCAACTTCAAGAGCTTCTAAAATCGTTTGCAAATAAACTCGTGGAGAAAAGACGAGAACACGCTGACGTTTTAGAAACAAAGGCAAAAGAGACCGAAAAAATGGTCAAGTTTATGGAAAAGATACAAAATATTGAACAAGCCGCAAAAACAACTTTAAAACCATGTGTAAATGTTTTACCCGATTCGGACGACATGGCTAGAGTACTGTTACTGAATTAAATTTGAAAAATTACATGTTAGAATATTATTATAAATATTCAATAACAGAGTAATGAAAATGTGTGAAAGAATAGCGACTTTGTTGTGATAATATAATTTACTGAGATTGAGACAACCTAGTATTCAATATAAAAGAGAAATTCAACTACAAAGTTAATTTAATTTATGGACGTTTTTAAGCTATTTTAGTGATTTAGTCAGACCTGTCAGTCGTATCTTCAGCCGAAATAAATGGTATTTATTTTATCGATTCGTGCTCCGACAACCAAGTTCTCAAATTCATTAATATTCATTGTCTTGATATCCCGGTAATAAACGTCCATATATGATATATCAGTTCAAATTTCGCGTTGAATTTCTCTTTAAATACTGAGTTCGTTTGCAACGTTTTATTACACTTGGAGTGGTCTTTCTAGTGATTGTAACTAACACTCTAACAGTATATTTAAAAAACTCAGCTATTTAGCACCTCGTTTTCAACAACCACTAGAGACGGAAAAAACTTGAGAGCGGAATTAAGTTTTTAACATACTTTCATTGAGGTGTTCCAATATCACTAATAATTTCTAAAGTCATTGCGGTTATTAGGTTCAATGACAATGCTAGATATATTGTCTATAGCATAAATTCTGAAACAGGCGCTATATTATGGCGCGGATATAACTGTACCGACTAGTAATAACGATATACAAGACTCACCCGTGATCCAGAGCGCCATATCAAATTGATTGTCTCATATTTCTGACGATATTTCAACCGTCTGAAGTCTGCAAAAAAACTAATGAAAGTAAGTTGTCATCGAAAAAACATGGAAAAGAAAGTGGAATAAATATTGTTTTTGGAAGTTACGTTATGTACAGCTGCGAAATAAATTAACGTGTTGTTTTTTATAAAAACAAATAAATTATAAAAGTAAACGGTAAGTATAGCCTAACTATGGTTTTTGTAAGCTCTGTCTCAAAAAGGCATATTTTATGTGTGGGAAAGTCCTCACTCATCAGATAAGTGGTGGATAACTCCTGGTCAAACGAGGATAAGAAAAACTCTCATCAACTCTCATCGTCGTTTGGACAAACGATAAACCCGGCTATCTTAAGCTGGAGTGTAGAAGGATGCCCTCGGATTGTAAGCAGATTAATTACTAAAGATTACAATAGTATTTACCCCGTGCGATGCCAGACGAGTTTGCCTATAAATGGGGATGGCCAGATCGTTTACCCTCGGGCGTTAGCTACAAACACACCTTTGGGAAATGCTAGTTAGAGAGTTCTCTTCCTTTTTGCAGATAAGAAAAAGAAATAGAGAGAGTGTTCTCTTTCCTTCCTTTTTGAGAGTACAATCCAGTCAAATAATCTAATGATGCTTTCTCCAATGAAATAGACGCTTGTTAATTTAATGATGACTTATTCACTTTTATCAAAATATTCAAAAATTCCGTACAATAGTCATTATAAAATTATCGCCGTAAAACGGCTCAATAGAATAAATATGTGTAGTTTGGCAAATGCCGCGTGCCTCGAGATTAGATAAGATACTATTGTAATATATTCAGGCGCGTCGAGATAACGAATTTTAATAATCTTGCGCACATGTAGAACTGCGTTAACGATCCCGGCGACAGTTAGATTACATGACATAAATCGCACCAATTTTTCCTATCGAGAAATGCAATGTTTAGATAATGTTTTGAAAAACATTGAGCAAGGAAAGATAAACTTATTTAATGCACTGTGTTGCAAATTTTCAGCTTGTGCAAAATTCGGATATTTGCATAAAATGCGTCACTACAAATATATGCAAGTATAGGGCGTGACGTCTACATAAGTTTATAATAAAGGTGACGCGCACGTAACGTTAGTGAATATTAACGATGTTTATTAAAAATTCCGGCTATTTGCATAATATGCGTCAGTTTGCAAGGAATGCATTGTTTGGAAATTTATTCAACGGGATTAGGGAACACTAAGAATTCCTTGCATGAAATTGTGAGGGCGGAAGGAGGCACTTAAATTATCCTTGGGATCCAATGAAAGAATGTTATGTATTGTCGATAATTAAAACCATGGGTAGCTAATGATTGATCGAATGAATTGCAACGCTGAAAGCTTGTTATTTACAGAATCTTAATCAACGCGTCTGTATTGTGTTTACACGGTATAGGTTTCCCACTCGCCTGGTGCTAAGGCTAGCCTGGCTTTACTACGACGCACCATCCTTTTTCAAGCAAATTTTTTACGCGTTTCAACAGATAACAGTGCGCAAAATGAAAGAGAAATCCAAAAGGTATGTCGTGTTGAATTTTTAACGCATAGGTCTATACTAAACGATCACGCGATTGATATGCGCTACACTCTTATACTTCTACCTAAATCTGTACTTTGATAAATGTAAATCACAAGTACATATCTATCGTTTATTTGAGCGTTAAATTGGCGTATTATATACAGGGCAGATCGTATCGGAGTTATTAAGCCTTGAACATAGCTGAATCTTTAACCATTAACTGCTGTTTTGACAAGCCTTGTCAACAGGATTTTCTACAAGTATGGCGTACTGAAAAACCATATACATCAACTGCCCTTCGCGCTAAACTGTAAATCCCACGCTTTTGCTAGAATATTCCTCACGCAGATGGCCAGTGTTGAATGGGTTTGTGTTAACGCTAAAATAATGCTCTTGTTTAACTTCGCAGGATGAAGGTATTCTACCCCATACTGGTAATTGTTCTTAGTATATCAGGAACGCAGGTGAGTGCCTTGTCAAGCTCGCAGTTGTGTTGTATTGTAGGCCTACTGTATTCTTAAATGATGCGATTTTTAGTTGCGCAGATTAATACCGTGAATGCAATATCACACGGTTGCTAATTTTGTTAAAATTAGTTGCAATTCTGAGGTTTTGGCAGCCACTATGATTATGGGCTAGTTATCAAACCACCGTATAAAAGGCAGCTTCCTGATTAATCAAAACCAAACGATGCGGTTTTATACGCGCAAATAGATGTGTGTGAAAATACTACTTGTACACAATTGCAAAATTTGAAATCATTGTCTTTCTGTATAAATGAGTTTTAACAAACCGCAAATCACCCATCCATTCGCATTGATTTTATACACACGGGGTCTGGGAAATCACAGTGTATTTATTAACTGGTCGCTGTACAGTTTCTATCAAATTTAAACAAAGTGATGCGTTTTTTATACGCACAGATTAATGCGTGTGAATGTTTATCGCGCACATGCAGTTGAAATTTTGAGATCATTTAGTAAAGTTTAAAACTATTAGATTTGACAGCCATCTTGACAACCACCATCACATGTGGGGTCTAGTCAGGCCGTGTTTCTAGCTTCCTATACCTTTAAATCTAAACCAAATGATGTGCTTTTTGTACGCGCAAATTATTACATGCCTGAAAAATCGTGCACAGTTGCAACGTTATGATGATTAATTTCTACTGAGGTGGTTGGTTCAAGGCTTTGGTAACCGTTAATTGATACACATCGCGAATGGGGTCTATTTTTAATTGCGAACCTCTCGCCAGAATCTGCATCAAATTAGTGGCCTTTTTGAGAGTTAAAAAGCAAGTTATTTTCTCGGGCAGTTTTCTTATTTGATTCCCCAGTAGTATGGGAATTTTTAATCAAATATAATATTTGGCATGCGAATAGATACTGGATACGAGAGGACGAAATCTGGATTCAATTACATTCATCAACAAACCGAAAACGAACCAGTTTCTACACAAAAAAAATATGTTAACTTTTTTCGACTTTAAATCTAATTTCCGCCCGCACCCTTTGGCAATTTGACTCCAGAGAGTTTTTTATAACGCATCCTTCCCACCTCACTGCTAAATTTACTTGTGCGTAATGTAAGGTCAAGCGGCTTCACACAATGCTGGCTTTGAGCCCGGACGCCAGTAAGACAACTGTGTGGAAACTGTCAATGGAAAAGCGTTTGGCGTCGTTGACTGTGTGATGATTGTCATAATCAGTTTCAGCTTGACAATATGACCCTTGGACAGAAATATATAGAGCTTTGGAGCCGCATTGTTTGAAAATAAATACTCTGTGCTTGACCAGAATATTGCCTATAATTTACGTGTATGTCCTATGTGTGACATGTGTAAATCGAATTATGTAGGTGACGAATATCATTACTTTTTCTGTTATAATAATGATAAATTAGGAAATCTTAGAGGAAATTTCTTAAAAGAATTATCAGAAATTAATAATTAATTAATAGTAGCTTTAAATCGCTAAGAAAAACTATCTATTTCTATATTGTATACGTCTGTCCGAATATGTATATGACTTAGCGAAGATTTTCGCTGATTTTACCGTAATTAGTTTGTTAGGTGAATGATTCTGTATTAAGTTTCCCATGTATCAGTAATATGGTATGATGGAATTAGATATCATTATTATTATTGATTCGGTAGATGGGTCAAAGATGATTTTTTAAAAAAGTAAGTAAAGACCTTTGCCTCGACCTTTACTAAAGCCCCAAAGGCCTCGCACCAATTTGCGCATATAAAAATGCATATAAGATGATATAAGAAGCTTCAAGTTTTAGTCACATTGTGCTTGCCAAATCTCAGAGGGTGACAGTGGAATTCTGGTCTTTTTTGTCTGTGCCTAGCCTGCGAGCAGTCTCTACACCCGAAAGGTAGACTATAGTCTGTGCGCTGCATGCGCAACATTTGTGCGAAAGATGCATTATATCTTGTTACAGTTTTTGACATTATTTTAAACAAATTTTCTCAAGTGAACAGCTGAGATAACATCTGCACGAGATAACCTATGTACGCTGATAATCATAACATCAGAGTATGCCACTGTGGCGCCGGATTAGGTCCCATTTTATCAAAAAATGTAAAAAAAATCCATCTATCTAAACACGAAAGATCGTACTAAACCATTACCAGATCGTACTGCCAGCTGCTTGGGATCAAAGCATTGGATCGAGTGGATATCAGATATAGTTCTGTTTATAGCAGTTCCTGCCATATATTATAACTATCAGCGAAATTAACTTTGTATCGATCTATATATGAACACAATGCTGACTTTTTACTCTGTCTATTAAACACAAGAATATGTTACTTGTCCGAGGCATACTGGAAATTCCCAGTTATTTTCACAAGCAATGGGGTGTGTTAGACATTGTTGAAACATGTACAAATAATATAAATTTTTGTCGATAACAGAAGTACATAATCATACAAACAATTTGTTTAATTGCCCCTGGGCATCTAACACTTTACACTTGTGTAATTAAACCGTACTGTACAATCAGTTGGAAGATCTCTGTTCGTGTTTATTAATTGCTTTTTGTATAGCCGCAGGAAACCTCACGGGAAGTGTTCCCTGAAGGAATTACTGTAGACTTTTTTAAAATTATTTCCTTGAATGAGCATCGTAACTGATGGTTACTTTTTATTTCGTGTGAAAGTTCGAGGACTTTTTTATGGAGAAATAGATACGGACCATTAAGGCTGATTTCCACTGTTGCGTTTTTCATACGTACGTATACGCACGTAAAACTCCGTTTAAATGTTACTTATGAAATAACCAAATAAACAAAGCAACAGAACTTAGTGTTCCGCAAGTTTTAGTATGCATTTGTTAACTTATTTGTAAAATATTTAAAAATAGAAGGATTCAAAGTTTTACGTGCGTGTACGTGCGTACGAGAAACACAACAGTGGAAATCAGCCTTAATGTGCAACACTGTAGCGAAACCCATCTATACAGAATTCCTTTTATAATTACTATTTTTATAATCTGCATGTCCTCGCAACCCGCTACAAGCATTAGCCTTAAATGCGCACACACAAGCGGTCTAAATGCGCGTTTAATCTAGACATTTGATGACACTTTAAATGGACGCTTGCGCGCCGCCGTTTTTAGTAAAAAATGCGCGCCTCACTTTAAGTATTTAACAGATTGTTAAAATCAGTCGTATGGTCACAGAATGGTATAGTGTTGATCAATACAAGTGCAGAGTCTGTGAGTTAATGTGAATTCAATACAATTACGCGTGTTGATGGTTTGAATTAAAGACAAATAAGAAAATCATGCATACATGTATTCAATCCTGGGTGGCATATTCACGATTCATATGAACTGAACGTTTAATAGAGAGTGTCAAGTATTAAAATAGTCTCGAGTTAGTAGTTTAGCTAAACCAATCTGATATAGCGGATTGGAGTGTCTTGTTGATGCAGTTGACCTTGCCATAAGTTGTAATTTAAGCTCATCCATAATGGGCCATCTAAGGACAAAAACTCTTGTAAAAACATCTCATTGCCACGAATTTAAAAATTGAACGTGCCACTTGTGTTTGTTATAAAATAGTACAGACGCATTAACCATTAGCCAAACAGATGGTTTCTATAATAGTATTTAAACGAGTTATTTTGGGGGAATCTGATATTGTGTGCAGCGCAATTCATTGTAAATATTAATTACGAATTGTTGACAAATATATAAATTATAATACTTATAGAATACCAATAGAACATTGAAACGCTTTGTAAATACCTTATTTGCTGAGAATAAAACTGGCAACAACGAGTTGTAGTTTATCAACTATTAAAATATCACATCTAATTCACACAATTTTACCCGACGTTCTAGCCTCTATGGTTTAAATTACCATATATCACACAAATTACCAAAAATTACTTTATTTTGGGTAAATCCGATACTAAAATATGTTCAAGTGGAATTAATTCACCAAGATTCCAATATACGCCCATAATTATCTGGAAAATCTGCCAACAAGTGTTGTCAACAAATCCAATTTTTCTGGCGAAGAATTGCGGCACGCAAAATATGCAAATTAGCTAAAATATTCGACAGATAGGCGTAGCATGGAATGAGGCACGCGCGCAAGCCAATGTTTTGAGCAAAATTTAACAAACGCGTTTATGCAATAGTCAAAAATACTACAGTGACTTTAAGGTTTATAAAAGCAAAATCGTTCATGTTATTTAAGTGATTAAAATAAATAAGCAATAAAGTGCGCAATTATTTACTTTAATGCGGAAATTAATTAGAATTATTTGCGCAAAGAAAACAAGTAGCTATAAGTTCGCATTTTAGTGAATTCTTCGTCACGCTAATAATTTAGATATGTTAAAAGTTGTTATAAAGGCACGGTCTCAGAAACGCGCATATTTCAAAACCACGACTTAGAGGCATGCTGAAAACTAAAAATTGCTAATAAAACTAAGGCATAATGAGGCCGACAGAGAAAGGTAATAGGTGAATAAGTGCCCAACCGCGCTGGCAACCCCCCTTCCATTCGTACAAAATGTCGGCTGCATTCGGAGACCAAATTTCAGTCAGTTTGAAGTCTAGTCATATGTCACTTGGGAGTTTAACAACACAAAGTCTGAATTTGTAAGACGCACGTTCGTCTTGTTTTTTTTATATATTGAAGTGTCAAGGGATCAAATTTTTAAATAATTATTTTTGTAAAAAAAAGCCTGTTGTTTACAAGGCAACGAAAGAAGTCATCTGGTTTTGCACTTAGATTGTTCAAGGTGGCCTCAAGAATGTAAATTCTATTGTCTATTCATGTGATTTTATTCATGCGATTTACGCGAGATATAATGCGAAACAAATCAATAATGAAATCATATTTGAGACCTGATATTCTCGCGAACCACTTCTACAGATGGTACAGTATTTCAAATCTATTTTAAACTCTTTCAAGTATTTCACAACCGGAAAAAATTAGCGTCTGTATTCAGACTACGAAATTATATGGCAATCATGTTTAGATGCTTCACAGCAACCCGTTTCCTTCCTTCCTTTCTAGCCTGTTGCGCAACCCCAGTTCCGCTCTGCAAGAGTTTGCGTGAACTCTGGCATTATGGTCGTATCAGTTTACAATGTGTAATATAATTATAGCAGTGATGCTAGTCCTAACCTTGCTGGGTAGGGTCAGGTCCGATAGGAAATTTGGTCTTAAGACGTTCGTGAGTCCTCTAAGAACGTTCAAATGTGTTGCGGTCAAAATATTCAGTCGTATATGTGAGAAAAGTGTTTCCGGCTTAACTCTACTAAACATAATCCAAAAACTGCCCATTGTACGAATTAAACTCCGGTCACAGATGCGAAGCACACCATTTGACAAACTGTCTCTACCGAATTTTCAGGCAAGAAAAATTACAGTCGGGCGAGTTGCTTAAATGAAAGCGACGCCAAACAAGCCTCACAACTTGTATATCATCCAACAATAATAACATGATGTTTTTATGGACTAGTTTAGTCTAGTTATATGAACACCTTATCTCACTGATTTGTTTTTAAAGCAAATATTGACTCGCACAATGTGAAGGTAAACATCAAACATCGACTAACGACTTTATATGTTTTCATAATGAAATCTACGCCCGTTTCTAGAAAGCAAAAACACGCGTCTAAATCAGTGAGATTCTATATTTTCTAAGATTTTTGGCGTTTACAATTTCCTCGATTGAGTTAATGTTTGGTACACAATTTTGGGACTATTGAATAATTGCGCAATCATACACCAGCCGATGGAGTATAGTTACTACAAGTAGTCTATGTGGGGGACACAATTACGGTTATAGTCAAAATATCATCGTTTTACATGAAACTCGAGGGAGATTGTCAATCAAATTTTATCATCAAAGGTGAACGATGATGAAACCACAATATTCCGCGTAATTTAAAGTTTGATTAGTTGAAATTCAGGGCGAATCTTACATGCGTGTAAGGCGCGCGTGTTTACTATTTTGAAATCTTGCTAATTGAAAAATTAATTTCAGTCCATCTTGAGAAAATTTACGGTAATTCAGGTAATATAAGACAAAATTGGACACACACGCTGTTGTCAACGGACAACAAAGTTTTAATCCACATTAGAACTGCATCATCCTCGGATCAGTATGAATTAGAGTTGTATTTACTCATCGATACACTTTTATAAACTTAATGATGTACTTTCATTCTTCAGTTCAGTGAACGCGGGGGGGGGGGGCATTCAAACAAAGGAATCTCATTATTTGACTCCCATCTGCCTTTGTGTTAATGTCTCGTGAGGTTTTCTTGAAACCCACGCAAGTTCACGAAACTAGTCCAGTTGGCACATTTTATTTCGATAAAACACCCCCCCCCCTCCCAGTAGTCTTCTATTAACTAATATCCCAAAAAACACAAATCCTACAGTTTCATATCCAATGGTTCCTTCTTTCTATAATCTAGAGCGAATGGAGCGATTCAGGAGTGTGGTCAGCCTGCTCTCGTTCATGTGGTGGTGGTATTACGTATCAAGAACGTACTTGTGTTGGAGGGTAAGCAGGATGTGCAATAGGATACGGGACTAGACATACTGGGGGGGGGGGTTAGAGGAGATGTTCCCCCAAGAAATTATTGAATATTTAGACCCTCAGAACGCCCGGTAATGCAACTAAAATTTGACATTCTTAGCTTGCACTCACATCCGAATTCTACGTTTGCTTGTCAATGCTCTTATAATTTACCTGAAAATCAGCATAAATCCCGAAAATCAGCATAAATCCTGAAAATCAGCTTAATTTCCTAGATTCTTAAACACTTAAATCCACCTAGAAAACCTGAAATTATTCATGAACAAATATTGAGGGGAGAGGGGGGTATATCCTCCACATCCCCTGTCGTTACGGCCCTGAAAGTGAGTTATGCGATCCAAGTGCGCATGTTACGTCACCAGACTGGCGGAAATATTCTGAGCGCAATCCTAGATCTCGTCTTATCTCGTTTCGCGAGGTCTGGAATGGACGCGAGCTAGGGAGTTAATCTCATTTCCATATATGTGTAAAATTCCACTGCGTCTTAAATGCTACGAGGTATTTTAAGTACATTGCACGATGGGTGTCTGGGAATCAAGAAAACAGCAAATCCTTAAATGCAGTCTGCATATATTTTACGGATATGCTGTTCAATTAAATTATGGACTTTGATAAATCCTATAATAGGAGTCTAATCTGGTCAAAACATGTGAGTACTCCTAGTTTGACTGTACCAAACACGCAGGTTTTAAATCGGCTTTGTTTACATTAGACCAATATTAGGAATGAGCCTTACTTACTGATATAGGGAGAACAGTTTAGAACCGATAGCGCTATCCAGAATAAATAAAATTAGAATGATATGAAATTCTCGTTTTTCCCCCAGAAATTGTGAAGGAGAAAGTAGAACATACAGATCATGTAATATCCAGGTATGACGACAGTAAATTTTAAATTTCATGAAAAGAGTGCTTAAAAAACGCTTTCATGTATATTTGGAACGGTTTAATTATTTTAATGATTAATATCACAACACTAGCAATTGATTTGTTTCTGCATGTAGGATTGTCCAAGTGGTAATGGTGGATTTCGCAAGGAACAATGCGCAGAATACAACTCCGTTCCTTTTAGAAACAAAACATATCAATGGGTTCCTTATTCAGGTAAATACTGCAGTATAAAAGCATTTTGTCGCTTCCATCACTGAGATAGTTTTGCCTCAATCTCGTGTGACAATCGACTCTAAAAACCCAAGGAGCAATTTTTTTTACTTTTTCCCCATTCTCTCCTAACTGAAATCACTCCTAAAAAGTGTACGAAAACAAGAAATTATGTGATTTTTTGTTGTGATTTTTAATATCTTTTTGTGATTTTTCTGAGGGTACGTGATTTGAATCAGTGATTTGCCCCTCGTAAAAACACTGCAGATTTACTGCCGCAGTAACATTGAACCAAGGGATGGCATTAGCTGAACCTCTAGGGAGAACAGTTTAGAACTGATAGAGCTATCCCGGTACAAATTAAGTTCGTTTAGGCTTCCCCCTGTAAGTAACACCAAACCAATAAATGCTAGCTCTTAGTGGACCTGTAGGTCTAAGGCGAACAGTTCAGAACTAATAGAGCTGTCCAGCGTATAGTCATAAAGCTAGTTTATAAGTTCTTTGTATGTTTGCATGGCGATAAAACATATAATAGTTTTGTTTGTGGAAACACCACGTAAATTTATTACTGCAAAGCTTTAGATCCGTAAGCCCAGATCTTCATCAGTGCTAATAATATGTGACTTGTGAATTAAACAAGTCACATATTATTAGCACTGATGAAGATCCGGGTTTACGGATCGAAAGCTTTGCAGTAATAAATTTACGTGGTGTTTCCACAAACAAAACTATTATAAAGCTAGTTTAGTTTAATTTTAACGGTATTTTCTAACTTGATATTACCAATGGCAAACTTTATTCCATTTTCAGGTGCCTTGGACAATCCATGTTCCCTGAGCTGCATGCCAAAGAATGAATTCTTCTACAAAACATTTAAAGAGAAAGTGGTTGACGGGACACGATGCGCTGAGCATTCTTATGACATGTGTGTTAATGGCGCCTGCATGGTAACCAGCAAATTAAACTAACTTTATTTATCTCAATCAATCCTTGACGTCCAGTGAGGTTCATCCCTCATTAATCCAGGGTTTTCACAGGAAGAAACATGAGCACACACGCAAAAATCTCACATCTTGTAACAAGTCTGCCAACAAGCCGTCAACAAGTTGTCTTCGCACTGCTTGTCCCAAGTTGTCAACAAGTTTGGAACAAGCTGTTAACATTTTGTAACAACCTTGTTGATATTATCAGACTTGTTACAAGGTTGTTCCAACAAGTCCGATACAGTCATGATACAGCAGTATTGTTACAACCTTGTGTCGTCAGCCTTGTAACATTTTTGTTTATCATGACTGTATCAGACTTGTTAGAACAACCTTTTGACAAGTCTGATAATGCCATCAAGCTTGTTACAAGTTGTTAACAGCTTGTTCCAAACTTGTTCCAACAACTGGGAACAAGCAGTGCGAAGACAACTTGTTGACAGCTTGCGAACAGATTTGTAACAACTTGTTCGCAAACCTGTAACAACTTGTGCGTTTTTACGTGTGTACCCAAAGGACGAAGGTCTGTGGTGTTTGGTAGAACCAAACTGGAAGCACTCTTCTCACATGTGACTGAGGTGGAATTATAATCAGACAATTACATATTGCAGGAATAGGATTCCTGTCGCAGAGTTGGACTGAAATCACACGTAATATAGTGTACAGTATGGAATGTTGTTTCTTTTTTCGTTAAAGAAAGCAGGCTGCGACTTAATCCTGGGCTCGAATGCGAAAGAAGATAAATGTCGTGTTTGCAATGGCAGGGGAAACAATTGTCGAACTATTCAGAATGTCTACAGAAAAAAAGCAAAGGGAATCGGAGGTAACTTTTGAATTTTGATATTAGGAGACAATGTTGCTATAGGCTATAGAAAACAATGTTTCCTGGTTTTACCACCTTCAGGAAACACGGCTAGGAAACTTGCTGATTTACCCACATTTGAGAAACATCGCTAGGAAACAATATTTCCTGGTTTACCAAAGGCCCGCTTAAGCTATAACTAAAATATTTTCTCATTGCCACCCAGCCTACGTGGATATCTTAGAAATTCCGGCTGGAGCTACAAATATTCAAATCAAAGAAGAAACAAGTTCAAGAAGTTACCTAGGTAAGACCAGAGATAATTTAAAGGAGAGTTATGGACTAAAAGGACTAATTAAACGAGTGATAGAATGACCAATGTTTTAATCAAAACTTGCAGCTCTAAGGACAAGAAGCTCGTTCATCTTCAACGGCAATCGTCGAATCGTCAGTCCTTACAAGTTCAAAGCAGTGGGAACTGTTGTTGATTATCAGAAAAGTGGATTGCAGGAGAGTATCTACGTCATCGGACCCACTGCAGAGTCCCTTTACCTTTCGGTAAGGTCCTGTTACATCTGAATCAAATCATGCTATTTAGTTGACTAATCATTTAGTTAGTTGGCACTTTAGTTGGTTAACGTTGATTGGGGGGTTAGAATTTAGTAGAAAAAATAGTTTGTTGATAACTTGTATGATAACAGTTAATAGACCTTTCCTCTTATAAGTGAAATTTTGATCTAGACAAGTCTGGACAAAAATTTCATCACAGCTTGAAAGACATCACAAAATTAGTAATATTCCGACTGAAAAACGGCAAACTTCGCAAGGCTATATTATCCGCATTTGAAACTTCGGAATATTACTAATTTTGTGATGCTCTTTCAAGCTGTGATGAAATTCGAACGTGCGACCCTGCGTTTCCGCAGGTTGTGGTTGCTCGTTTGTTGTTCATTGATTGTTTGCTGGTATTCGTTGATTGTTCACTCACCATCAAACTTTAGACCATAGATTTTTTATTTACCAACGATACATTCTGTTTCAGTTGCTGTTGTTGAGCGAAGATGTTGCTCTCAATTATGAATATTCTGTTCATAAATCTCAGAAAGTTGTCGACAGTATGATTACGTATTCCTGGAAAGTTGGTGAATATGGTCCTTGCGATAAAAGTTGCAACGGAGGTAGGAAGACTATCAGTTTCAAACTTGAGGTGTTTAATTAAATGGAGTCGAATAACTTGATAAAAAATTAATTCCTCAAAGTCCAAATCAGGAATGCAAACAAAAGCCTTTGAGTTTTATAGGTTTGATTCCGATTGGGGCATTCATAAATGTTTCGACTTCATTTGATCAACTCCACAAGCCGTTATATTCTTCTTCGCTTTTGAGAACAACAACAAAATTTGCCAGTTGGAAAGAGGCTGCCCCAGACAGCAGAACAATAGCGAGGGACCGTTTCCATCAGCAGTTTTAGTTTATTTGAAATAATAACAAAAAAGTTCACTTATCGATTAAGGCACAAAGACTCGTGAAGTGCACTGTATACAAGATCGAGACAAAACCGAAGTCGATGACGCCAAGTGCCATGCAATTCCAAAGCCCGAGGAGGAAGCCGCCTGCAATGTTCACCACTGTCCGCCAAGGTAAATAAACCTAAAATTAGAAAATATAACTTCGATGTTTCGAGCGAAGGCCCTTGTATCTGTCCCCTTTAACAAAAACGACATGCAATGTTGTGCTTAGGGGCCATGCAAAATTTATTGCACTCCTGGGCCGGAGCAAATCAATTTTGAAGCCCCGTTTACACTACGCTCAATTTTTGGTACGGCACGGATAAAATTGGTACCCGTACCACTTTTTTGGTTCATGGACTACCTATATTTTGAGCTCCGTTTACACTACGCTCGATTTTTGGTACCGTACCACTTTTTTGGTTCTTGGACTACCTAAATAGGTAGTCCAAGAACCAAAAAAGTGGTACGGGTACCAATTTTATCCGTGCCGTACCAAAAATTGAGCGTAGTGTAAACGGGGCTTGAATGTTAAAAAAAGCAAGCCCCGCTTAGATTGGTGTGATAAAAATCCCCAGCCCCGCTCGGAACTTTGCTGAAAAAGTTGCTGCCCTGTGGCCTGTACTACTGTCAGTTTGAAAGAAAGCTTGTGCAGCTGTGCTTACCGTAGAGTTGCTTATCATGTTCAGCTAGAGGAAATCGCTGAAATGTGCGGGAAGTCTGACACGGCTACCCCTGCGGGTCTGAACTTCTTCTTGTAGCAGGCTTGTAGTTACTTGATCTCCTTCATCGGGGTGCCACACCTTGTGTGCCACACCTTGAAAGGCAGGCAGAAAAAATCTTTGTCCCGCTTCTATGCAGTTACAAGGCAGAAAAAATCTGTGTGCCCCGCTTCTATGCAGCTCAAAAAAAGTATGTGCCCTTTTGCTCCGGCCCCGTATAAAATAAATTTTACATGCCTCTTAGCCCATTCCCCTGTTATGAGAGCATATCAACAGGACTTCTATATAATCCTAATAAAAACTTTTTCAATTTCCTGAAGATGGTTTATTGGGTCGTGGTCTCCATGCAGTCGCAGTTGTGAGGAAGGAACACAGGTGAGAAGAGTACATTGTGAAAAAGATACGCCAAGCGGAATAGAAATGGTGGATGAAAAATTGTGTCCTGGAAGCAAAGTTATCACTCAGAGAAAATGTGTCGAGTTATCCGAATGTCCCAAATGGAAACAAGGAGAATGGTCGGAGGTATGATTTATTGTTTTATTTTTCATCCTTGGAGTAAGCTTTGAAAACTATGCCGACGAAATCTATATGAAAAAATTACACTAAATTGTTCTTCCTAGAGATTCAGTACAGTTCCTTTATTGTTTCTGCGGTATACTACAGTACAAGAAGAAACCTAAATTAAACCAATGTTATTTATACTGGATAGCTCTAGAGAATCAGTATAAAGACCATCTTTTATTTGTCCATTGTTACTATACTGGAGAAAAACGGAGTACATGAAGAAAACCTTGTTTGGTCACGTCAAATTGGAAGCATTCTTCCCTTATGCGGCTAAGACAAAATGATATTCAGCTACAGCTGCATGCTATTACTGCTCTGACTGCAAGAAACGAATCGTAGTCATAGTAGTGAAAGGCATACAACTAAAACACTGCGATACCTTCAGAGACACGGATGTTTCTTGTCGCCTATTCGATTGAAGTAACTTGGGGTCTTATATGCAGTAGTTTTGCAACAGGGCTGTCAGGACACCAATACTCTTTGACAAATGCGAATTGAGAAAGATATAACTATGTGAAACGCGAATTTTAAAATGCTCTTTCCAGCTATGGTAATGGATTTCGTTCTTCTTATCCAGATCAAAATTTCGTCTATAACTCGAATCATCCATTGCATTATTCCGCAGCTTTCTTGTTAAGCCGGTTTTCTGGCCACTTCGCCCGTATCGTACCGAAACGTACTGGTGAGCATGCGCAGATTGAAGAGGTTTATAAATCCACGCACTTCCGGGTGTATTCGCGTATCAAAATAAAAAGTTCGTCCCAAGTCAACTTTTTGGCGTACTACGGAAGTACTAATCAATTAACATTCACGAAATTTTAAAATTTAAAAACGTTTTTGATACGTTTCAGTACGCTTGAAGTGGAAAACCGGCTTTATCGTCGTCGTCGTCGTCGCTATCTATACTGGCACAAACCATTGGAGATTATCAACCTCGTACCCAGGGCTAGCCGCGACATCAATTCGCGCCATCCCTGGGTACGAGGTTGGGAGATTATATCAGTTATCACTAATACTCTTTTCCTTTCCCTTTGTAGTGTAGCAAGTCATGTAGCGGAGGTATCCGTACTCGTTCAGTTCAATGTATCGAGATTAATAGCAACCTCATTAGTGACGACAGATGTCCTGAACATAGCAGACCACGTAACCAAGAAAGTTGCAATGAAACACCTTGCGCAGTGCGCTGGGTCACAGGAGACTGGGGAGAGGTAGGTTTGATTATTTCTGTGAGTTTGAGTGGTTGTGTGATGTCAAGATGAGCTTAAATGCAGAAGTGAATTGGTGAAGAATGCTATGTGTGATGGTTAAAAACACACAAGTTGCTATAGGATTGCAACAGACTTGTTACAAAGTTGTTCTAAAAAAACCCGTCTCATTTGTTGGCAAGTTGCTGCAAGTCTGCAACGGACTTGCTACAAGACTGTTCTAACATGCACTGCTTGTTTCCAGCTTGTTGACAAGTTCGTCAACTTGTCAACAAGATATCAGTAGTTTATGTTAGCATTCAGCTTGTTTTCGGCTTGTTGATGAGGTGTAACACACCCACAGCAGTCTTAAATTGTTCGAACAAAGCGATTATGTTTGCACTTCTTGTTCCTACTTTACTGATAAGCAGTTGTTCGAGGCTTGCAGCAGACTTGCTAGATTGGAACTGAAATTACATTTCGGCACTGTGTCAGAATGGATTGCACCGCTCTCAGTCACTCAGAATTGAGTATTACACAGTATTTCTATTTTCCTAGTGTCGTCCATCCTGTGGCAAAGGAATGAGAACTCGGCCAGTGTACTGTGCTAGTACAACACAGGTCAGCAGAAGATATCCAGATTATATATGTAATCAAGATGATAAACCTGAACTAATGAAACCCTGCAATAACACTCAGAAATGTCCTCCAATGTGGTATGGTTCCATGTGGAGCAAGGTAGGGTGTAATATTTTGTTGGTAACACATTAGTCAGTCCATAATCCTTTACCCTTTCTCACCAAAGATTCCATTCCTGCAATATGTAGTCGTATTATAATTTCACCTCAGTCACACGCGAGAAGAGTGCTTCCATGTTGACCCTACCTGACACCGAAGAATACCAGTCTCATTTTCAGAATACCAGTCTCGTCCTGTAGTAACACAGAAATGATAAGAGATGATAATCTTACTGGGCCTCTAGGGAGAATAGTTTAGAACTGATAGTGCTATCCAGCATAAATAAAGTGAGTTAGTTTAGGATTCCTCCTGTAGTATTACTGAAATGACAAAAGATTATCCTTAATGAGAACAGGGAGAACAGTTTAGAACTGACATAGCTAATTATCCAGTGTAAATTAAGTTAGTTTTAAGTCAACTCTTCCTTTTTATAGTGTACAGCAAAATGTGGCAAAGGAATACAAATGAGGAACGTGTTCTGCGGTGTAAAACATAATGCGGATTATTTAAATATCCTCTCTAATGACAGATGCAGTCTTTTACCTCAACTTAAAAAGATACAGCAATGTACTATTAGGCCTTGTTACACGCAATGGATCTCGTTGTCTTGGCAACCGGTAAGTAGAAAAGCTCCAGGAAAGGTAGGGAGATGTTACTTATCTTTCCTCGCATCTGAGAGCGGAATTGACCATTTGCGTAATAGACAAAATTTTGATCTAGACAAGCCTGGACAAAAATTTCATCACAGCTTGAAAGAGCATCACAAAATTAGTAATATTCCAAAGTTTCGTTGTGAAATGTTGTAAAATGCGGATAATATAGTCTTGCGAAGTTTGAAATTTTCAGTCATTTTAGATTACAAACGGGAAATTGACAGCCTCAAAGCGCATCGGGCTGTCAATTTCCCGTTTGTAATACAAAATGACTGAAAATTGCAAATTTCGCAAGGCTATGTTATCCGCATTTTACAACATTTCGCAACGAAACTTTGGAATATTACTAATTTTGTGATGCTGTTTCAAGCTGTGATGAAATTATTGTCTAGATCAAAATTTAATCTATGGCAAATGGTCAATTGCGAAGGATGCAGCTCCAACGATACCAAGTCAAAGACTTAACAGGATGCGTCCGGCTGCTGTCATATGACCTATGTCTGATTACGGACCACAGCTAAGATGGAAGGTTTAGTTTTTGATGAGGGAGGAGTACCCGGTGAAAACCCCTGGAAGCAGAGGAGAGACCAACCACGACTATATCACATGAAGTGAAAGCAAAGCAGTTATCTAACCTGAGTAAATACTCTACCTAATTGACCTTTAGAAACAGGCTTAGCTGCGTAACCCAACGGTAGCGTACAGGTGTATGTACCACAGAATACCACAGTACCACAGAATACCACAGAATACCAGTCTTATTTATTTCTCTTATAAAATTTGAAGAAAATACGCTATAAAGTTTATTTTTGTGAATATATATTAGTTTTAGTCTTAACTGACATATAAAAACAAAAAATGTATATTTTCTTAAAAATTCTTAAAAATAATCAGGATTAACAAGAAGAAACATTCTATATTTTTGGTACTGCATTGGTATTCAGTGGTACATTGGATACATGGTACATTTTTTTCCACAGAATATTCATTTAAAAAAAAAATTAAGTCTATGAAATCTTGCCCCAAAACCCCCAGGAAGAAAAAATATATTGATAGACTATACTAAGAAATATTAAGAAACCATATTATATACATTAGACAAAAAGATATGGAACTTGTAAATTTTTGCGTTATTCTGTGGTACATACACCTGTACTAACCACATCGGCCAAGACAAAGTAACTGACAAAGCAACGCGTATTAGGATGTATTGCAGATCAATAGTTCGAAGATATTTCCATTATTCTCCCTGTAGTGTTCGTCTACATGTGGTTACGGAAAGAGAATACGTAATATCAAGTGTTATGCCGACAGTGAAGAAGACAAGACAGGAAAGTCATGTGATCCCAACACTAAACCTCACACTGAAGATGTTTGTAATTTGGTTGACTGTCTTGATGGTAGGTACTCTTTCATGTATGGTATTAGCTGGATTCAGTTAGCGTCACTTAAGGTGGAGTAATACGGGAAACAAAATTGCTGCAACTTGCAACAAAATCTGATTTCAACGCATGTTAGTAGAAATGTCGACACATGTTGCCTTGTGATTTGTAATTGATGTGTATAAACATATTCAATTAACATGCATAGAAATCAGATTTTGCTGCTCGTATTGCTCCAGCTTTACAGGAGCAAGAAAATTATTAAAATTATAGGGACAAAGAGAATTCACAATATTTTCATAATATATATCTGAACTGATAGCTGACAAGATGAAACTGGTATCTTACACCGATAATACAAACGGCTGACAAATGATCCTGTAAAAAGATCCTTCCTAAGTCATTTATTTCGTGTTATTTAGGTTCAAACAGCCAAAACACCACACCTCCACCAAGAAAACCCATAGGACCATCAGCTGACCTTACTACCCCATCACGACCACAGACTCCAAGAAGACCCACACGACCACAAATTGTAACCCGACCACAAATTGTAACCCGACCACAAATTGTAACCCTACCACCAACTGTTTCCACGCAAGCACCACAAATCACGCGGGTTCCCACGCCGGCTACAAGACCAACACGACCACCAATAGTGTTAAGAACAACCCAAGCACCTCGAGTTACGGCAGAACCAACAAGGGAGGCAACTAGGACGCCAGGACGGTTATCAACCATACTTTTCCCAACCACACAGACGAATGGAGATAATAACATCCATGGCATGTCCAAACCTGCTAAGATTCTGCGAGGCCCTGAAAATATGGGTAAGAATAGAATAGAAACTTTATTTCACGAGGGAAAACGTATTAACCATAAAAGTTATCAAACATACGGCCCTCACACTATTTTGATATTTACAGGCATAAAAAGTATTAAAGATTACGACTATTTACATATGAGAAAAAAAAATTAGTAATGAATACAATTACAATTTAGTAAATATTTACAATTTATACAAAATAGAACTTCGATATGGTTAGTAAGGTTAAGCTTGTTAAGAAAGATTTTACTAATTTTTTGTTTGGCGATAGTATATGAAGAGCAAGATGGCGAAGCAGCAAGTTGCTTACTATCGCTATCTAAGCAATTAAAAAGAATGGAAGCACTGTGCAGAAATGTTCGTTTACCAGAGTCAGTACGCGGGAAGGGGGGTTGAAGGTCATATGCGCAAGCACTAGTCAGAGCCCGTTGTCGAATAGAAGATAAGAATTTAAACATTTGCTTAAATGAAGATGGAGCACTGGGATTTGTGAGAATGTTAATTAGTAAGAGAAGCTTCCTAAATTTAACAAGACCAAAGGATTCTTACTAGCGCAACCGTTTGAAAAAGTAATTTTAAAAGCCAGGAAATTGGTGTCTTAAAATTGGACATGGTAACATGGAGTGTTCTAAGGCGAATATTGCTGGATGTCCCAACAGGGGGTAGCCAAGGTTAGCATACCAGCGCTAAGTTATTGAGATTCACCCTAGACAGTAGACACTGACCAACAAGTTATGCAACTTCAAAAGAACACCATACGTTACTTCCATTCTTACCTACCTACCGGCACACTGATTGGCATAACCATTTCGACAGTTTCAAACAAAAAAATTTCCATTATTTAACAAAACCTTTGTTATTTTTCAGAGGCTGTTGTAGGTAGTGACATCTCAATGCCGTGTGTGGCAACAGGAAACCCAAAACCAGATATCTTCTGGCTCAAAGGCAATCTCGATGTGTCCGTTTTTGGAAGAAGGTTCCAAGTTTTGCCTGATGGAACTCTAACAATACTACAAGTACAGGAAGTCGATGAAGATCAATATACGTGTGTGGCAAACAATGCCATATCTCGGCGTTCACATCCTGCCTATCTCAGTGTTTTAAGTAAGTTCATGTTGGTTTTCCTTGTTACAAAATGGAGGTAGCGTGGCTCCATGCCTCCCTAACGTCCCCAGGTTTTTAAATAACATGTATGTGTTCTTGCAACTGGTAAGTTATATTATTCAAGACCACCGTTTGGCAGTTTCTGCAGTATAACACCATTTCTGTAGACATAAAATTCAAATTTTGGGGCGAAGTACATGTATACATGCACCACGGCAGCATTTCCCCCTTGCAACAGTAACTTCTAGTTAAAATGATATTGGGTAATTTTCAAGCCTTGAAAATTTGCAAGCTATCTAAACTCGAAAAAAAGACCCAACAAAAAATGAGCAGGACAGTTTCTTTTAACTTTAAAATACTCATTAATAATTCATAAATTAAACCTTGTGGCAAATCATGTCAGCCATAATATGTCACGTGGAGTGACTTTATATCTGATAAAGCATGTGGCATTATATAATTGTTCATCCTGATTAGCATGATTATATAATGGTTCATCCTAATTAGTATTCTTTTGTAGTCGTATTTTAAGCTATTCAAAACACTCGTTGTCGTGTTTTATCAGATATAAAACGCTCGGCCCGTGTTTTAAATAGTACGTAATAGCGAGTATTCAATAGCAAATACATATATTATTGCATAATGTCATGTTAAATATTTTATAATTAGAAGACTTTCTAACAGTACTTAGTACAAAGCAGCAAACATTCACACACGAATTATTTTAGGCGCACGATACGACATTAACTTTGTAGTGTGCTTATTTTTTCTTCAATTTTAATTTCACGCATCTATGCCCTATTGGAAAATTAATTCCGCGCAAATTCAAATACAGTCTAATTCTGTGACGAAGGCCTTTCGCGCGGAATGTCGAAATGCTAATATTATTAGGTTGTCATAAGCATTTCATAATTTTCATTACCATATACAGTGCCCATTAATAGATACGTTTCACGCAATCCCACGAGAACCTGACACAAAGGCAGGTGGAGGGCAAGTAATGAGATTCTTTTGTTTAAATGCCCTCATGCATGTGCACTGAACTGTAGCATAATGAAAGCCAACAAGTGTGTGTGTTAATTATTTCAGCACCACCGTACGTTGATATATCCTTGGGTTATACAGTAAAGCAAGGTGAAGAAGCCCGCATTCAATGTAGGGTCAGCGGCAAACCACGCCCTACAGTACAATGGTATAAGGACGGACAGCCATTGCCTTTACAGAGGAATGCAAGAATGAGCGTTACATCTCGAGAAATATACATCAGATCAACAGAACTACAGGATCATGGGAACTATGATTGTAAAGCAATCAATAATAATGGAGAACGTATCGCACATATGATGCTCGATGTGATGCCTGGTGAGTACTATGTCATACACCTCTCTCCTCCGCAGAGCCTCCTTAAGTATTTACAAATAATTTACATGAAGTTTCCTGAATAAAAGTGAGCGCGCGCCGAGTGATGGGAAGATTGAATTTTCCCTCACCAGAAATTTCATGTAAGCCTCTGCGGAGGGGAGAGGTCATACACGAAAAGGTGTTACTCCGGCCACTCTAATTAAGGGATCGGAGTCTTGAAATGACTATGTTTCTGTTGTTTTGTGTATAATGCATCATGCACGAGATACATGTGAAGGAGTTTATCACTTCGGCTATTTGGAATGCCCACAGTCTTACATTGGCTTGTTTCTTTTTTATGTAGGGCAGATCACAGAGCTATAGGGGATCCCGAGGTCCCCGATCACATGCTCTATTAGCCCTAATGGTCATCAACACCCAATGATGGGTATTTAAATTCACATTCCGAGATATCTCTTTTTCTAGACGAGAAGACGAGATTACATGACATAATGAATGGTAATTGCGCAGACAATGATAAATTAGAGGATTGTGCGATGGTGGGCAAGATTGACGGATATTGTGACAGGCCATACTATCAAAAAGTTTGCTGTATAACTTGTCGCACTAAGAATAAATTATTAAACGGACGCATGTAGGAACTGTGTATTGCATAGAATAAAACTTAGATTTAGGAGTTATTGAAGCAGTTTTATACCGCTATATTTTAAAGATATTATATATGAACTGTTTTTATGATATTTTATTGATACTATATATATATATATATATATAATACCACAATATCAGGTTTGTGTTGCTTATGGTTTCAAAACAGAAATGTATACGTGGTTTCTGTAAGCGCTATTGTGCAGGAGATGGCGATCAACCGTTAATTATTTTCATTAAATGGCAGACAAACAAATAAATAAAATTCAGAGATGTGTTTCAATTTGACTGCTTCTATAACTGCATGTATGTGTCACCATTTCTAAAGTTGAACGCCATCTGCTGCCCACCAATTCACGACCAAATGCGCGGGTAACGTAATATCTGTTGATAGCTATATCTCGATAGAATAAGAAACAATCTGCTCTGTACATACGTAAAAATCTCACACTTTGTCAACAAGATGTGTTAGCACTGCTTGTTCGAAGTTGTTGACAAGTCTGGAACAAGTTGTTATCATCTTGCTGCAACGTTGACGAGACCAATAGACTTGCAACAATGGTTGTTCCAACAAGACTGATATCGTCTGCAGGTAACAAGTTGAGGACAACAAGCTTGTAGCAAGTCTGTTACCGTTATCAACCATGTAACAAAGTGATAACAACTTGTTCCAAGCTTGTCACAACAATGGACCTTTAACCTTATAACTAAAATTTTGATCTAGACAAAAATTTCATCACAGCTTGAAAGAGCATCACAAAATTAGTAATATTCCAAAGTTTCGTTACGAAATGTTGTAAAATGCGGATAATATAGCCCTTGCGAAGTTTGCAATTTTCAGTCATTTTAGATTACAAACGGGAAATTGATACCCAAATCGGGTGTTTGGGTATCAATTTCCCGTTTGTAATCTAAAATGACTGAAAATTGCAAACTTCGCAGGGCTATATTATCCGCATTTTACAACATTTCGCAACGAAACTTCGGAATATTACTAATTTTGTGATGCTCTTTCAAGCTGTGATGAAATTTTTGTCTAGACTTGTCTAGATCAAAATTTTAGTTATAAGGTTAAAGGTCCATTGGGAACAAGCAGATATGCACCCTGATATCAGCTTGTTTGCAGATATGTAACAACTTGCGCGTTCTTACGTGGGTACACGGCATCGCCACCAGAAGATGTCGCGAAATTCTAGTCGTATAAATGTTACCAAATTAAGAACTGAATATTGTTGTAAATATAAGGATATATATCTGTAACGTTTTTACTAGGCTTTATAATTCTAGGGTCGATTGTATTTTGAAAGAAATCCTGAATTGAAATATAATATCTGTTTTATTTTATACACAATGTTACCTTCGTCTTCATAAATTAATTAATTAACCATGTCACAGATTTTGTGATAATCTAAAAGCCACAGATGTGGTGTATTTTATGTCATAGATAAAACATTAAGAGGTTATACCCCCCTCCCATGTGGGGGAATCAGGACCCCCTCCCATTCCCTCCCTCGTGACTACGCCTCTGAGACCACTGTTCGACGTTGTTTTGGCAAGGTCGACTGTTTTGGCAACCACTGTTCGACGCAGGGTTTATTTTAACGTGCAGTTCTACACAAAATGTGCAGTTCTAAACCCATTTGTGCAGTTCTTAAAACCCAAATGTGCAGTCACCAAACTAAATAGCCTTAATTAATCTCATTTACTCGTTACCCTTGTGGATGCTCCATTAATTGAGCATCAAAAATATAAACGTTTTCTGGGGGAGGATTGCAGACCCTCCTATTTTCCTCACAAATCACTTACGCGCTGGGTTAATGGAAAAGAAGCTAAAATTGGGGCGAGCGAACCTCCCCAAAAGAGATTAGAGTGGGAGAACCTAATATTCTTTGCTGCCTCAAATGCAAATTTAAGGTTGTTATTTATTGAATATCCATGATTCCCAGTTATATGTTTTGAAACAGTTTTTGTGAGTGGTTGGGTAAAACAAATCTTTGCCAGAACTTAAGAGCCTCTAGATTCAAATTATTTTGGGGAACACCTCCTAGCTCCCGCACCCAAAATCGAGTTTTCTGGCCTTTCTCCAATTCTCCCACCCAACCACACCATTATTCTATCACCTATATGCAGGTAAAAATCCTTCGACCTCCCCAGTCAAACACCCATTGCCTTCGTGACATACCCATATGTGCAGTTCTAAATTTTTCTTAAAATAAACCCTGCTTCGACGTTGTTTTGGCAAGGTCGACTGTTTTGGCAACCACTGTTCGACGTTGTGCGTCTTCCTACATTTAACAATGCTTTACATACTAAAGTGCGCATGCTTTAATTTCACTGCGTGGCGGGGCAGGGCCTTGCCTAAGCCTTTTTCCACATATTGCATTTCTATACAATGTCAGCACATTCCTTTTACATACAAATGCCAGAAAAATATAGACGCCCTGAAATGCAGTAAGAACAACAAAAAGATAGGAAAATACTGGGAAAAGTACAGCAATAAAAGTGGAAGCCCAGCCCAATCCGAGGACGGTTGAAATCTTGATATAAATAAATACTGAACTTTTCTCTTGTCTCTGCGCCCGCAACATTTGAGCATTTTTTTCCAGTTTACGCATCTCTATGATACTTCGTGTAAAGCAGAGTATATTGAAGGCCATGGCGAGGCAGACTGGTATATAGACAATGACGAATATATGCGGTCCGGAAAGCCAACATATTTTAGTGACCTGTATATCAAGTACATTAAAATGGTATAATATGAAACACATTACAACAAAACCCAACGGAATAGACCATACGACCATAAACATCTTGGTTTGTAGAGCTGAGCCCTTCCGTTGGTGGGCAATTGGGTCAGTGAACATACATAGCGTATCATGCGCGATCTTAGCCATGCTTATATGAGCAACTAACATGAAGTACTGAATCCCAAATGCCGTCGCAATACACACTGGACGAATTTGGACTGCCTGTGGGCTCGCCAACCATATTACGTCTAATAGCACCAATCCAGTGGTCAAATTTATAATGTTTTTTCCTGGGGCTGTTTGCAGTTGCGAAAATGTTATGTAAGTCACCAACACAATTATTAAGCAAAATAATGATAGACACAAACCGATTAATGTTAAATACTGCCGAATAACATTAATATCGTATCCGAGTGCCTTGTCGCAGATATAAACATTGTCATTCTGCACTGTATATTGACCAAATCTGTACAGAACCCCTTTAAGTTTGTAATATAGTGACAAATTAGATTTGACTTCGAATTCGTTTCGTGCATACTTGTGATAAAATCCATCACAATCGCTTGGTAATTGCTTTTCGCAAACCTTAATCAAACCATTCGACGAATCATCCTTAAAATATTGGTCTCTTGTGTAATTCCGTTTCGTTTCATGCACGTAAATTTTACCAGAGGGACCAATTTTTGTATAATCTGATGTGTTATATACTTGTAGTCCAACACAGCCGAGCCGACGGGATGAGGTTTTGATGACTTTGACTGTCTTCGAACCGAGACGAAGGGAAAACGTTCGGATGAATGGTTTTAGGAACTTCAGGATTGAATAAGCTGTTCCAGAATCTTGTTTGACCTCAGTTTCAGAATAATTTCCCAACAATTCAATACTTTGGTTTAAGGTCAATTGAACATCGAACTTTATCATGCGTATAGTACCCCGTTGTACTTCTTGAAATATAGCATTAAATATATCAGAAGGTTCCACGTCGATTAAGCACTTGCTAAAATATGTAATATTAGGTAGACTGCAGGCTGGATAAGGCCACAAGAACCAGACAGCTACCCTATATCTGTCCAAGGGCGTGTCAATAGGGGGCACTATATCTCTTGGGTTTACGCACGCTTTAAGATGGTGATCGTATACTTTAGTACGGCATGCAGGGTTTACGGAATAGCCACTCGACTGAGATTTATGCTTGAAATTAATTGTAAGAAAAAAGTCAGAAATTAGTACACTTCTAGAAAAAGGATTAGGCTCGCATACCAGATTGTTATTGCCATTACAAAATGCACAGTGTTTATTCTTGTATAAGTATTCATGCCCAGGTCCTCCAAACACAAGTGCCACCCCGCCTTGCAAACAACCATTTACTTCTTCAACTAAATTAAACTTGCAGTTCGAAATTGGTTTGCGACAGTATCTTCGCGGCATATTTTTCTTTGGAACAACGACGCTAGATATATCATTCCCCTTAAGTTCGACAACAAGGTCAATTAAATCCTCAATGCTTTGAACGCCAACCGGTTGGAAACTTAACGAAACATTAAACATCCAGAACTCGAACGTATTTTGATAGTTGCATTTGGCGCAATGGCGATTTCTGTACGTGATGTTACCCACGCCTAACACGGGGACGAAATCCATATAGGTCGAAGAGTTGAGGCGAGATGGCGGATCTATACACAAAGATGCGATTTTGTTATTTGGCCAAGATTTTGAGCAATTATTTTTCATCCTGTATGAAGTCAGACCAAGACTAACACAAGACAACGACAGAAACAGATCGTCTTCGATTATTGTTACATTTTTCTTACGCTCAGTTCTATTACAATTAGCCATCGAATAATCGTAACAACAATCTTGAAATGACTCACAATATGAATCACAGAAACAACTAAATTCATCACGAGTAGAACCAAATTGATCAGGACAAGATCTTTGCTCGCACGACAAGCTCGCTTTCGAACAAGTTGCATTTGTTAAGGTCAAATTTGAGCTCTCAGGCTGGTATCTGGCCTCGAGCGTCCAGTCTCTGGATTCATGCTGGTTTCTGGGCTGATGCTGGTCTCGGGATTCAAGATTCAAACGGGTTGTACCAACCGAATCACATTCTTCGTTTGAATTGCGAGCTATAGGGAGTAAAGGCCGGCGAGATATTGAGCTATTCCCGCACAGGGCCATCCCTACCAGTACTGCAACACAACATATCAAAAGGAAGCAACGAACAACGTCGGATCGCATTTTTTCAAAAATAAAACACAGCAAACTATTCTCATCACTGTTGTCTGCTTTGAACTAAACACACATCTGAAGGATTTAATAATCATGTATACCCGTTAATATACCCCGAGCTTTGATTAAAACGCGTTTGATTAAAATGAGTAATTACTTGTTTGCATTTAACCGCAATTTTGTCGCGAAAGTATTGTTTTCTTCTCAACATAAATGGAGTGCATTACTTTTTTGGTAAACGTATATCACTGTATTAATAATAAACGATGATGTTGGTTTATTTTAATTAAAATTATTGAATTCTTCGCAGGCCCAGAGCTATGCCTGCTGCAGGAGACATAATTTTAAGCCAAAACTAAAAATTTTATAATACAAAAGATTAAATTATATTTTTGGGAAAGGGGCCTATATTTAAATGTTGCAGGCTATGCACATATTTCACAGGAGAAAGCCAGACAGCCTGGCGTTTGCCATACCAATAATTTGAAAAATTATTTCCAGGGTAAGCAAGAAAGATCTTTAATATATTTTATATTCGGATGTGCTAAATTACAAAGCGGGAGTCAAATAATAATAAATTCATAGTCACTGCGAAAATTATGAAGTCGGAACTGTAATTATGACACTCATTATAAGGTTATCATATAGCAGATCATTATAAATTCATTAAAGCATTCCTACAAATATTCGTGTTTGAAATACCGAGTATTAATCTCAGTGCAAGAAAATGAATATATTGCTGTGTTTTGTCGCGGTGAATTATTAAAATAAATTTAATCTGAACGGAACGGTTGCAATCATAGTTGTAATTAATCTTGATAATTAAAAAGGTGTGTGACACAGTTGGTTAGGGCAGGTGTCTTTCACCTGTGTCTGGGGGTTCAATTGGAAGAGGGGGCACTTAGGCATATTTGGTGTGGGGGCCCCCGTATTATGTTTATACTGTGATTCACCTAGCCCAGATATGTTTTAGTTGAGGTGGAATAAAAAACGTAAGCTACCGTTGTCGATGGAGACTTTATTATTTAGCATCATTAATTTTCCATTTTCCCATTGATTCTTAAATTAACCTGTACTTTTTACGTTTTCTAATTTTCAGGGCTGATAGGCCGTGGCTGATGGGGGCCCCTGTCGGGGCCCCTTAGTTTTTGAACTAACCCTACCCAATGAGCATTACGCCACTGGTTCCTGCAAATTACTTATAAGTCGCACGATTGCTTAATGCAAGATTGCTTAACTGAGAATACAAATCCTAGCTGCGTTAGTGCCAGATAATATGTAATAAAGTGTGATATTAATTTATTGTACGATCATCCAGATTAAAATTTTTAATTGTCTGTGATGTTTCGGCTACCTATACGGCAGCCGTATATCGGCAGATCGTACAATAGATTAAATTAATGGAAGAACCCGGATTCAAGCCCTTCACTTCAGTAAAGTCTAATATATTGTAGAACACCGCTTCACCCGTTTTGCAGTTATGACGCCATAGGGGGTCCTGCAGGGAAGGTTTTGCTCCGGGCCCCGCGCAACCTCTAGGTGGCCTTGGGCACATTAAAATAAATGCATTCAGGTTTTGACTCTACTAAACACCGCGGGGTTTTCTTCGCCAGATACTCCGAATTCCTCCTGCCAAAACACTGGACAGATAAGGGATGCCTCTTACTGGACCTCCGGGTAGAACCGTTTAAAAGTGATAGAGCAATCCATAATAAATAAACATATAGTTTATTATTAATACTACAATCAAATGAAAAAGTTAACAAACCTTTAACAGCACTGCTCATTGGCCTCATTCTATCTATAAGTAAATAGTTTCCTGAAGTGCAGGCTGAAACAAGGAAAAAAAGCTCGATGTTTATAAACAACTCAGACAAAAACGACACTGGTTTTCTATGATCGCAGTAAAAATTTTGCATCGGTAAATTCTAAGTTTTGAAGGATTTGTAAGAAATGTTTGAGCGAACTAATTAAACATGGAGTCAGTTCCCCCCAAATATTTCTTACAAATCCTTCAAAACTTAGAATTTACCTGTGCAAAATTCCTACTGCGTGTTGTCACAGAAACTTTGGTAGTATAATACCGTACCTATAAAGCATTAAGAACACTTCGGCTCTTCAGTCTATCGCCCATATTCTAAAAGCTCACTCACACTCAATGAGTTCTCTCGAGTGTCATTGCTGTTTTTGAATAGCTGAAGGGCTAGTGTCATACCTTACTATGTGACTATACTCACCCTCCAGCTATTCAAAAACAGCATTGACACTCAAGAGCAACTCAGATTGAACCTCCACTCATTGAGTGTGAGTGAGCTTTTAGAATACGGGCGTAAACGTACATCGAAGCGTTTTTAATCTTTCGATCGAGTTATTTAACGTAAAGTGAGGCAGACATGCACTAACCAAAGTAGCTTATTGTAGAATATACTACCTATAGACACTTGATTTGTACGAAGTTAAAGAAAACTTGTCAATTTGCTCGAGACAAAACGAACTCACCTGCATGGGACTGAGGCCGTCCCGCGTAGAACTAGCTTGCACTGCCTTCGACATACTATGAATATCTATATGCACAATAAGATAATACCACAACTGCTCAAGGTAGAATTGTTTAAATACTCTTAATAATACTCTTTAACTACAACATCCAGTCGGGATAAAGGTGAATGGAAAATCTTGGGAACTTTTAGTGAATTTCTTCATCTGCGAAGCTAACTTGCACGTTGCCGGCAAGACACAGTTGTTTTTGCATACCAACTTAAAAATTTGAATAAATTTTGAGCAATGTCCAATTAGTGTAAAGCCTAAAGGAATTAGATGTTGCATCATAAAAGCAAGGTCCCAATACCCAATGCAGATCTTTGGAGAATGTTATATAAACAAGCCAAAACAATGAATGACTGGATGACATGAAGAATAGTGGGATTTTCAGGAAAAAGGTAATCGAACCTCAGCGCACTATTGTACCTGAATTACTCTGCGTATGAACGAGATTTTTTCACATTCGGAAAGATCATGCTTTTAGCTGTTGAATGATATCTTCATGCCAAATGGATAAAAAATGAGCAAATATACGAATCCGATAAAAAATGCTAGTCAAAATCGCATATTTTCATCGTTGAGAGTTGGGTCTAAAACCATTGAAAATGAACTCCCTTTCGTACTTAAGTTGATGAATTTCACTTCATTAAACTACGCACATATTCAAAATTATTATTAAGTGGGAATAAATCTTAGCTAAGCTACGATACGTTCGTGATTAATTGCTTTTTCTTTTGTTATGCATTGTTTTAATTAGGCACAGAGGTGAAAATATGCGATTTTGACTAACATTTTTGATCGGCCTCGTACATACTTATTTTTTCTCCATTTGGTATCAAACGCATGTCGTTCAATAGCTAAACGCCTGGTCTTTCCGAATATGAAAACCAATTGTTCATACGCCAAGTGATTCATGTATTATAACGCGCTAAAGTTCGATTACCTTTTTTTATACACCCTGTAGTGGGATTTTCAATACAATGAAAAGACAATGGAACATCCCGATCAATGATTTGTGACTGGATGAATGGTGCTATTGTTACGCAAATTGCAGACAATTTGACTGTGTGTGCTATTATACTGTATAATTATTGACTAAATAACTATTTACAATAAAATTGTATGGACATATAAACAGAAATACACAATCCTATAATACAGTCAACCTAAAGGCTGTTGACAGTAGAAATTTTGCATTGGTAAACTCTACGTTTTGAAGGATTTGTAAGAAATGTTTGAGGGAACTGACTTAGTGTTAATCTCTCAAAACTTAGGGACCGGTCATTATTTATGGCGGGGGGTGGGACAGAAGAGAAATGTTTTTTGTGGCAAAAGTTTTGCTGACCCAACCATTAAAAAGTCAAAAATTTGATTACCCAACCTCAAATATCAATTAAAAAATAAATACCCACCCCTGGCCAACTTTACTATACTAATAAATACCCACCCCCTGGCAAACTTTACAAAGGGTACCATTCAGTTGTCACACTTGTCCTTTACCACTTCTGTGACATGGGTTTGATAACAGCTTGTGAAATTTTCTGCAGTCTAAAGTTTTATGCTGTCTGCACATGTACTTTCTTTGGAGACACCATTTGTTTTGTCAAAATGATCAAGATAGTGACTCTGATTGATTCGCATATTGTATTGACATAAATGACTGTTGACATTGCTTTTCATGAATAATGTCTGCCAAATATTTCAGTGAGTCATGTTTTGGAAATGACAATACATTTTTATTACCCAACCCTTGAGTTGTTTTGTTTTTCATTTACCCAACCTTTTTTCTACTCAAAATTTTGTTTACCCAACCTTTTTCTCTTCGGTGCCACCCCCCGCCATAAATAATGACTGGTCCCTTAGAATTTACCTATAAGCAAAATTTCTATACTGTGATCAGAAACTTTGATAGTGTAAACCAGCCTTTAAACTTCGTATCGTTCTTTGTCTTAAGCCGGTTTTCCACTTCAACCGTATCGTAACGTATCGTATCGTAGCATTTTCTTTTGTGTCGAAGTCATTAGTTCTACTCTAGTGCTCAGGAAACAAAGAAATACTGTACGCTACGCTTCGCTACGATTGAAGTGGAAAACTGGCTTACATCTTAAAGTGCCTATATCATGGTTTTGGAGTTTGCATATCTCGAGGACACTTTGCAATATTAAGACACCTTGCAATATATTTTGTTATTGAAAAAAATTCATCTTGATGGATTATTAGCTCTTAAAGTTACCGGACATGACGTCAAAAGGAGAATTGCAAATCAGTTTTCTTTTGCATCATTGCAACAAAATTCTCATTTTGACGTCATGTCCGGTAACTTTAAGAGCTAATAAATCCATCAAGATGAAATTTTTCAATAACAAAATATATTGCAAAGTGTCTTAAAATACCCTAAACTTTCGAGATATGCAAACTCCAAAACCATGATATAGGCACTTTAATGCGTCGGCCGGCAATAAACCTGCTGTCTTATATACACACTACAGTATACCACATTCCTCAAATAAACTCCTGCTAAACAAAGCCTGTTGGAATCCATTTTCTACATCAGACTACCATGACTCGTTGTGATTCTACACAAAAATTCAAAAATAAAATTTGTCATAGACTGAACCAATCGAACCTATATTGAGATTTACAAGACAACGACACGGCGGCCATGATGGAGGAAACCACGCTCCAATTGACCATTTGCGTAATAGACTAAATTTTGATCCCAACAAAAATTTCATTACAGCTTGAAAGAGCATCACGAAATTAGTAATATTCCAAAGTTTCGTTGCAAAATGTTGTAAAATGCGGAAAATATAGCCTTGCGAAATTTGCAATTTTCAGTCATTTTAGATTACAAACCGGAAATTGACAGCCTCGAAGGGTTTGGGGCTGTCAATTTCCCGTTTGTAATCTAAAATAACTGAAAATTGCAAATTTCGCAAGGCTATATTATCCGCATTTTACAACATTTCGCAACGAAACTTTGGAATATTACTAATTTTGTGATGCTCCTTCAAGCTGTAATGAAATTTTTGTCTAGACTTGTTTAGTTCAAAATTTAGTCTATTACGCAAATGGTCAATTACAGAATCATATTCTTTTGTTAGAATTCCTCCAACATGGCGGTCATGACGTCAAGTGCAAACCAAGAATAATTACCACAAAAAGTCCGGTTTCTGATTTTGACTCTAAGGTTAGAACTACATCGGGGACAATTCTGGGCTAAAATTAATTGTTAGTATGGAAATTTCTGCAAAACATAAATATATTATTTGATATTACCTTGCCATTCGCTGAGCGCTCACAGGCCGTTTTGCAGACCGCGGTCTTGTTGGAGGTTTGGGAACGATTGCCTCCATACTGGGATTGCTAAATTTATGAGCAGCCAACCTTTCAATCAACATTTGCATGTGTTTATTATAGTCTTGCCTCGCTGATCCTAATTTATCCACAGTATCACCTGTTGATACCATATCTGTACTGTCATCACCACATGGGATCCGTATTATCCTTGACGGACCATCTCTGTCAATAGAGGGCCCTTGACTATCCATAGAAATCACCGAGCTTTCAGATTTTCCCTTTGATTGCCTATTATCTAGCGTTTCTCTAGTATGTGCTGGTTTCGAAGTCACTTGAAGTTCGTTTTGAACCAAATTAAAAAACGTCTGGTCAGCATTCCTATATCTTGTATCACCTTGTATACCCTCGTGTACATCAAATGTCCTACGTTTATCAATAATTTCGCTATCATTCCTTTTATTTGAGCCATCAATCTGATTATCACCTGATGTACCTACAGGTTTATCACTTTGTATCCTCTTCGTAGGATAATGAGAGTGTACTGTGACCCGATCTGTCCTTCCAGTAACCCTATCTGTCCTTCCAGTGACCCTGTCTGTCCTTCCAGTGACCCTATCTGTACCGGCAGTGACCCTATCTATCCTCACATTATCCCCACTATCAGCAGAATTATCAGTATTTTCCACCGGCTGCATCCATTTGTTCGTTTCAATTTTCAGCGGTGGTCTGGCACTGTACTGACGTACTGCTTGCCGCTTTGCCAGCTGCTTCAAAGCCTCAGAGACAGATTTTTCTCTCATTGCTCGCTCTAGTAATGATAAAAAGATTTCTAAATACCTCCTGTGGTGGGTGTCAGTAAGACGAACAGAGCAGCAGAATGTGGTAAAATTCAGAAATATGTTTGTGATGTTTTTGATGTTACTCTGCATGTATATCCACACCGGGCAAGCTGAAAAGTTAGCCTGACCACGGTGGGAATCGAACCCGCGACCTTTAGGATACTAGTCCAATGCTCTGCCAACTGAGCTATTTTGGAACTAAGTCTAGTACCTTCGATACCAATGTGTTCTATGATCATGATATTTTTGTGTGTGTTTTGATGATATGTGTTTTGATGTGTGTTATGATGTTATGGCAGGCTAACTTTTCAGCCTGTCAGGTGTGGATACACACTCAGAGTAACATCAAAAACATTATATTCACCTGAATACATAACATCAAAACACACAAAAATATCATGTTTGTGATGTTACTCTGAGTGTGTCCACACCGGGCAAGCTGAAATTAAAGTTTGCTTGACCGCGGGGGGAATCGAATCCGTGACCTTTGGTGCTAGTCCAATGCTCTACTCGGTTCAAGTGGGTGATATTTTGGAACTCAGTCTAGTTTCGATATTAATGTGTTTTTACGATCTTGAATTTTCCTGTTGTTGTCGCTTACAGACAACATCACAAACATATATCTTCACTTGAGTGCATAACACCAAAAACAGAAAAATTCAATTTCAGGAATGTTGATACTAATATAGAAGCAGGTAAAGTAAGCATGACAATAGATGGCCTTCACTATAAAGCAAACACCAGAAACAGAAAAATTCAACTTCAGGAATGTTGATACTAATATAAGAACAAGTAAAGTAAGCATGACAATAGATGGCCTTCACTATAAAGCAAACACCAAAAACAAAAAAATTCAATTTCAGGAATGTTGATACTAATATAGGAACAAGTCAAGTAAGCATGACAATAGATGGCCTTTACTATAAAGCAAACACCAAAAACAGAAAAATTCAACTTCAGGAATGTTGACACTAATATAAGAACAAGTAAAGTAAGCATGACAATAAATGGCCTTCACTATAAAGCAAACACCAAAAACAGAAAAATTCAACTTCAGGAATGTTGACACTAATATACAGTAAGAACAAGTCAAGCAAGCATGACAATAGATGCCTTTCACTATAAAGCACTATCGTGCAACAGATGGTGGTCAACCTGCAGTTATCAGAGTGAGAAAATAATGTTAATCTTTTCAATATATGTCGTAGTCTTGTATTTGGTGGTAAATTAGCTTTCTGTCTAAAGTATCAACATTTCTGAGTTGACCACCTACTGAAACCCAGCAATTCAAGCCTGCACCGATTTGAATGGAGGCAAACATGGAAAGTGTTTACAGGTAATATTTCATCTTACCATAAGCGGTAGCTCCTGTGCTCTTGGCGGATATTGGCCGAGTGAGAGAAGCACTTGACATTCGTTCTAAAAATTCATACATCACATTCAGTGACAATACACGAGGTAGTCGAAGGAAACCTCTGATGTTCGGTTGAGACAAACTGGATGACAACTGAGGGCAACAAAGTTCATCAATTTTACTGTTTGGTGTTTACTTTCTACCTTCGTAAACTACAGTCTTATCTTTCTCTAAAGTCCTATCTATGTAATACATGTACAATCTGCAGGCATGCATGTTTTGGCGTTCCACGGCTCATCAATGCAGCTTAGTACAGGTTTGATACGTGATTGCCACAGTATTTATACAAATGAACTTGCTCTCGCCAAGGGCATGTGGTACACACGTAAAAACGCACAAGTTGTAACAAACCTGCAGCAGACTTGTAGCAATGCTGTTCCAACAACTTGGCATCGCACTGCTTGTTCCCAGCTTGTTGATAAGTTGTCAACGGCTTGTGACAACTTTGCTACAAGGTTGTTGAGCTTAACAGACGTGTTACAAGTTGTTCCGACAATTTGTTATCGACCTGCAATTCAACAGTTTGTCAACAAGTTGTGAGTGACAACCTTGTAGCAACTTGATAAAATAACAGCATTGTTACAACTTGTTGACAAGCTTGCTACAAGCCTGTTGTGAACACATCTTGTTGACAAGTTGTGAGATTTTTATGTGTGTATAACACAGTGATATCAACGCATCTACACATGTAAAAACGCACAAGTTGTTACAAATCTACTCACAAGCTCTCAACAAGTTGTGTTTCCACTACTTGTTCCCAGTTGTTGTAACAAGTCTGGAACAAGCTGTTCACAACTTGTAACAAGCTTGATGGCATTTATATCAGACTTGTAGCAAAGTTGTTCTAACAAGTCGGATAGAGTCATGATATAACAAGAATGTTACAAGGTTGACCACACAAGGTTGTAACAATATTGTTATATCATGACTGTATCAAACGTGTTGGAACAACCTTGCAACAACTCTGATAAAATCAACAAGGTTGTTACCAGTTGTTAACAGTTTGTTCCAAACTTGTTGATAACTTGGGACAAGCAGAGCGAAGACAACTTGTTTGCAGACTTGCTACAAGATGTGAGACTTTTACGTGTGTAGACATGTGCAGAGTGTCATGGGGTCAGAGTGCTCAGACGTCTGCAAGGAAATCACTAATAAACGCCCATCTATAGACGCCTATCTACAGTATATTTCAGGAATGGAACCCTGGTCAGACAGATGAAAGTCACATGTATTCACCACTGTTACATCAACAATCCAAACCATATTACATAAATAAACGAAATATAAATGCTACGTACTTCGTTCGGTGAGAACATTAGCAGACGCAGGACGTTTCTTATTCTTATTCACATCCATTGACTTCCCATAAGCAGCTATAGCACCAGCCAAACGTCGGTTCTTTTCAGACATTGCAGATTGTGTTCTTGTTTGCTCAGGTTTGCGTTTATTTCCAGCATCTTGAGTGTTTGTCGTAGTTAGCACGTGAGCACTGTGACTGGAAAAATAAGAACACGCCGTTTTGAACTACGGAGGGAAATTACTTCGATATTTTAATATGAATATTGAACAACTTTATCAGTTCCAAACTGTTCTCGTTAGAGGTTCAGTAAGGCAATTTCTTGTTGGTTGAGAGTTACTACAAGAGGAAACCTAAACTAACTTTATTTATAATGGATACCTCTATCAGTTCCTTAGAGGTTCAGTAAGGGTCATTTATTATTGGTTTAGTGACTAGTGTTACTACAGGAGCAAATCTGATGAATACCTGGAGAAATCCTGCGAAGTTTCGTAGAGTCGGACTGGAAATACATTTTTCACATTATAATCACACAACTGCATTTTGCAGGCACGTGCACTAGCCAATGGGCCACCGCCCATAGTATGTTATCTTAATGTATACCTTCTCAAATGTTTCCTAGTTTCAGTCTGACGTTGTAAAGGTGGTTTGCTAGCTTTCCATTGGCTGGCAGCTGAATGACTGGGAGAATTTCCAAGAAATATACTAGCATTGTTGTTCACTCTAGTGTAGCGGGTGAGAAGTTCCTCCAGGTCATTTTCACTGAAATAAACAAAATGCGTGAAAACTGAAAAGGTTAACAGTGGTTTATTTATTTATTTATTAACTAAGTTAAAGTGTTTCTTTCAGGTTTACATGGCGATGAATGTGATTGTTTCGTTTTGTGAAAACTGTACGCTTATGTATGTCCTTCGCAAAGCTTTCGATCTATATTCCGCGTCGAAGAGACACCAGTTTACTCGTTTGGTTTCCCAAACAACAGGTACTCAATCAAAACTGTTTCACCATGGAATCCAGGGACAAATGCACTGTAACCTTCAGACTTAAGGTCCGTTTACGCTTGCAATTTGTGCTGGTACTCTAGGTGCGATTTTCGTCTTCAGATGGATATTAACAAGTGGATGAGTTACGAATGTCCAAATGAGGGTACAAATAATACTCAGAAACTCCTAACTCATCCACTCGTTCACATGCATCAGAACAAGAAAATCGCACTAGAAATCGTAGCAAAAATTGCAAGTGTAAACTGCACTTTAAAGATCACCACTCAGACCATGAATTCGCGGGCTCAAACTCCTGCTGACGGCCATTTTTCGGGACGAATAGTCGAATAGATTAGATGATCTGGAAAGTTTTTACAATCCGTTATATATTTAAACCATCCTTTTATAATCCTTGCTCTTTTTGTCTGATTTTTATCAGAAATGAACCAAACAAGGTATTTTTATCGCTATTTGTTGTATTTGAGTAAAATGTAAACAAAAACAAAAGCCCGCAATGCTAATCCTTTAAATCACAGTTAATACCAACCTCGCCAAATTCAGGAAGCTTTTAAAGTCTTCATCTGACATTGCGTCAGCATTGTCCACGTCATCAAAGTTCTTACTTCCCTTCATCTGAGCAGTCTCCTGCACAAGAAAATAGAAATTTAATCTTCACTACCAAGGTTCTTGTTCTACCTTAGGAAGATAAGAATCCTTGCGATTGCCACTCCACCCACCACCTTGGCTCCCTGCTATGGGCTATTTTACCCAAACCACTCCCATAACTCCGGCGCTTATGATGGACCATCGCACCCCGTTGGAGTAGTGCCCATTCAGCGAACCATTTTCAGTTAGGTTGGCACATCATTGGAAAAACACCCGGAATCTTTACCTTGTCATAAATATGAACAAAATCTCCCAACTGCTGCGCCAACATTCTTCGCCTAAATAGACACAGGATAGATACGAAATTAATCAAACAAACATCGTTATCAATGGAAAACAAACATCGTTATCAATGGAACACGTGTGTAAAAGTGTAAAAACTTGAACTAAAATAGCTTTATTTATACTAGATAGCTCTATAATTAGTTCTCAACTGTTCTCCCTAGAGGTCCAGTTAGAGTAATTCCTTGTTGATCCAGAGTTACTACAGGAGGAAACCTAAACTAAACTAACTATATGCACACACACACCAACATGGCATATCTTTTAACTTATAATAACAATCGAAGGGTAAGGTAAAATAACGTAGTGAATATATTGCTTTATTACTGAATATATTAAATTTTACAAGAAACTTAAGTTAGTCTGAATAATATATACAATAAAAGTTGTTTTTTTCTGTGTTGGTGTTGTGTACTCAGGTGAATATGATGTTTGTGGTGTTACTCTGAGTGTATATCCACACCGGGCGAGCTTGAAAAATATGCCCGGCCACGGTGGGAATCGAACCTACCACCTTTGGAATACTAGCCCAATGCTCTGCCAACTGAGCTACGCGGTCAGGACGGTTCGAGTAAGTGATATTTTTCAAGCTCGCCCGGTGTGGATATACACTCAGAGTAACACCACAAACATCATATTCACCTGAGTACACAACACCAACACAGAAAAAATCATATTACAAGATTACACTGGTATCGAAGGGACTAGATTCTGTTCCGAAATATCACTTACTCGAACCGTCCTGACCGCGTAGCTCAGTCGGCAGAGCATTGGGCTAGTATTCCAAAGGTCGTAGGTTCGATTCCCACCGTGGCCGGGCATATTTTTCAAGCTCGCCCGGTGTGGATATACACTCAGAGTAACACCACAAACATCACAATAAAAGTTATTAGCCTTTTCAGACTAAAGTCATATTGAACTAAATCTCCGTCTTTCCAACACCTTAAAGCCTATCTGCTGTAGTTGATTGACTAAGGCTGCCTCTCATGCATATTGTTTGGCGAGAATTAGACTGTCCACGGTACAGACTTTTGTACAACTTCAGAACATTCTTATTGCATACGAATGCAAGGAAAATATAGACGCCTTGAAACGAAGTAAGGAAAACAAACACGTAGGAGAATACAGGGAAAATTACTGCAATAAAAGTGGAAGTCCAACCCAATCCAAGTAAGGTTGAAATCTTAATATATATAAACACCGAACGTTTCTCTTGCTTTTGCGCCCGCAACATTTGACCATTCTGTTCCAGCTTACGCATCTCCCAGATACTTCGCGTAAAGCAAAGTATATTGTAAAACATCGAGATACATACTGGTACAAAAACAACAATGTACTCATATGTCCCAGTTATCCAACATTCCAAGTCGTTTACTGTTAAGATACTGTATTGCCACAGCAGCACGCACACAGCAACATAGACAACGGGAATTAACCAGATAACCAAAAACCTCAAAAATCTTGACGTGTTTCTTCGTTGATGCGCTATAGGGTCAGCGAACATCCCCATCGTATCATGCGCGATTTTGGCCATGCTTGTTAACGAGACTAAAATGAAGTATGGTTGGGCGAACGCCATTGTGGTGCACAGCGGGCGCAGATTTGTGAACCACCCCCGTGTCAGCCATAAAATATCGAAAATTAATAAAGCCAAAGCTAAATTCATCAGGTTTTTTCCAGGGGGTGCACGGAGCTGTGAAAATTTGGAATACGTAATTAGCACAGAAAATAGACTGATCACAGATAAACTCATAGCGATGAATGTTATGAACCCGCGAACACCGTCACCAGCGGTTGGATTTGATACTTCATGGCAGATAAATATAGAATCACTCTTTATCGAGTATTCGTTATAACTGTACATAACTTTTTCCTTGGTGTGATATAGCGATAAATTGTCTTGTATGACTTGGAATTCGCTTCGATTATACTCTTTGTATCGTCCATAGCATTCGTTAGGTAATTGCTGCTCGCAAATTTTAATAGCACCATTGCCTGAACCGTTTCTGAAATAGTCTTCCCTCGAATAATATTTCCCAGTTTTATTTACAAAGACCTTCCCGTCTATTTCTACGTATTCGGAAGGATTATAAGTTTTAAGTCCAAAGCACGCCAGCCGCCGATACGCGGTTTTCACAACTTTAATAAACTCTGTACCAAACGGAATATAAAATACTCCTGAAAACGGTTGAATGAATTTTTTGATAGAATACGCCCCTAAAGAAGTGGAAACGTTTTTGGATAATTCCACGGTTTGGATAAATGTCAAATCCACTTCGAATCTTAGAAGATATGTTGAAGGCACTTTGTTTTTAGTCAACTTTTTCTTTGTTGGGTTATGGATACTGGTTGCCGAAACATCAGAAATAAATTTCGCTATATGATAAGTAAGATTACTTTCAGGCAGTTTAATCTTTGTTTTCAACCATATCGCTATTCTGTATTTATCAAGCGGCGATTTCTCTGGAGAAACTAGTTCGCTGCTTTTAACACATGTTTTCAAATGATTATCAAATACTGCATTTTGGCCACAACTACTCGAAGCCGTAAACCGCGTTGTTTTGGGGTTTCTAAAATTGATTGTAATATAGAAATCATAGTTTTCAAACTCAGGTACTCCTCCACGAGTCCCGAGGAACTGTGGGCCACATATGACTTTCTCGCTAGTTTTATTGCATAAAGCACAGGCTTTGTTTTTATATTGTACATCATTCGAATCTTGTACTATGCCTACTTTTCCAAACAAGCACTCATTGACAACCTCGATATCTTCGTGTCCATTCACACAAGTAGAAACCGGCTCCAAACAATATCTTCGAGGATGCCATTTCTCCTTTGCGACAACAATGCCATTAACAAGCCCTCCATAATATCCAACCAAGAAATCCATTAATTCACTAACAGTGCTAACTCCTGGCGGATAGACGTTTATATCTAAGTCCCAAAAGTCGAACTCATTTTGGTTGTTGCATACGGCACAAAATTGATTACGATATGTTATATTATCAGCGCCCACAACCGGAATAAAGTCAGTGTAGGTCGAGGAATTGAGCGTTTGGGGGGCGTTGAGGCATCGTGTTGCGATGTCCGGCTTGGTCCATGTCTTCGAGCAATTCACTTTCATCCATACAGGCAAATTTTCACCAAATTTCACGCAGGACCATGTGGAGTTCACTTCCGAAGCTGACAATTCGTTTGTCTTGTTGTATGAATCATAGTCATAGCAACAATCTTGCATGACTTGGCAGAGGTTGTCACAGTAGCAAAAGTCTCTCGCGTCTTTTTCGACAGGATAAGTAATCTTCCTTGCGTGTTTTTTACAAGAAAAATTCCAACACTTTTCCGTGGCATCTCGTTCTTGTCGAATTTGGGTCCTTTGGTTTTCATTTGGCGAAGTGAATATACTTGTTTCTTGGTTAATCTTGAGTAAATCGCTCAAGGATGGCAGCTTTGTTGTTTCGAAATTGCTTCGAAATATCTTGATTTTTATTTTTGCCGTATTCAACTGCATTGGAAGTGTTATTATAATACAAAGTGAAAAAAACATCAAGCGATTGCGAAGAGCCATGGTTTTTCATTAACAGACACCGCCTAATGATGGGAGAAAAATGAAGCTCCGCCTCAATATGTATATATGTACCATTTTAATTACATGATGCACTTTTTGTTATTATTATTTATACTTTTGATCATATGTATGTTATTATTCACATATTCTTCTAATTTCATTACATTTGCATGTGAAGCAGAAGTTTGCATGAAGACAGTTACTAAGACAAATTTTGATCGACTCGATATATGCAGATGCAAATTATCCCGAGCATTTTGTCATATAAGAATTCCACCACAAACAAGGGCAGGGTAAATGACGCTTAATATTACAAGTTGTCTCAAATAAAAACCGAGCAAATGGCAATGAATGAATTCACATCATCAATTTACTAAAAATTTCAAAACAGGAAAGCAAAGAAGGCGTATCAGTTTAGCCTAAAAAAATTGTGGAAAAAGTCAACAATAAATTATAAGTGATTCATGTGCAGACATGACCAGAGGGCCGACACATATTAAAAGCTGAATTTAATAAACCGTCTTGTAGTAGAGTAATAATAAACCAAACATTTCAATAATAAACACGAATAACAAGTCATAAATAATATATATTTTCAATTTTCAAACTCACCTGTCTTGTGGATGTAATTTGTGACTCGGGATGATAACTTTAAATTCTTGTCGAAGATTTTTTGCCGCTCGTTTAAGGAAACGAATCACCAAACTCATTTGTTCGTCCTGTTTGCTCTTCTCACTCTCATCACCCAATTCTTCATAGACACAACTAAATAATTGGTTGAACTCAAATTTAGCTTAATTCTTTGATTATATGTTAATGTATTCATCTCTAAGTTATTCCATCCATTTATTCCACCTTTTTCAGAAAGCGGTATCAATTTCCCGTGCGTAATACAAAATGACTGAAAAACGGCAAACTTCGCAAGGCTATATTATCCGCATTTTACAACATTTTGCAACGAAACTTCGGAATATTACTAATTTTGTGATGTTCTTTCAAGCTGTGGTTAAATGTTTAGTGTTTGTCTAGATCAAAATTGTGTCCACTAGGGAATACTGTAGGTCCATTCATTTGTTTCGTCCAATCTACTTTCAGTCTGCCTGCATGTATTTCATTCTTTCGTTCTTTTATACTCCGTTCCATTCTATTCTTCCTATGCTATTCCATCCCTTCCTTTCCCTTGGGGCTTCGGTGTAGCAATCATCAGAGCAAACGCATTTCACGTCTGAGATTGTGGGTTCGATCCTCACATTGGAACAACGCTCTACCGAAAGTCGTGGGTTTTCTCTGGGTACTCCGGTTTCCTCCCGCAGAGAATGTTGACAGGGTGGGTTGGGATTACCCTGGTTGCCAGAGGTTCTCGTATCATTCGCCTTATTCCCACTTAAGGCGAAAGACACGAGAACCTCTGGCAACCAGGGTAGGTTGGGATTAGCCACTGACCCTTCCACCGTAGCTGTACTCCGTGATCAAACATGAGTCACAAGATGGCTGCCAGAGGCGACTTTAAGTCCCGTTTACACTTAGGCTATGTTTACATTGTATCGGATCAGTTTTTGTTTCGTTCGCGAAAAGCTACGGCCCAAGTGTAAACAGCTTCCGCCCCCGCCCATCTATGCCGTCGTATTTCCTTCTACATATTATTAGAATAGTAAGTTGTTGTTTGCCAGATTCCATCTTGAGTCACGCATTGAACCGAAATTGCTCCGATTGGTGTTTACATTACAATGAGAGCGTTGCAAAAACCGATCCGATACACCGCGCACCACTTCGAAGAGCGAACCGCCGCACCACCGCTCGTTGCAAAAATTGGGACGATAACAACATTTCATATGTAAACAGAAGCCCTATCCAGTATGGTTTTTGCGTCGGACGCAAAGTGATCCGATACAATGTAAACATAGCCTTAGTTGCGATTTTCTTCTTCTAATAGATGTGCACGAGTGGATGAGTTATGAATGTCCAGATGAGGGTATACATACACAGTCCTTGAAACTCAGGTCGGCATTCGGCAACGCCGACCTAAATGCAGACCTGCAAAGCGATATATGTGGGTTAGGTCGGCAAAATTTTGCCGACCTACTTTCAAATACGTCTCGGCATTTTTTCCGCGAACGCATCTTTCACATATGCATTTTCAACGAGCTTGCGTAGTAGTCACATTGCAGTTTCATTGTTGAAAACTTTGAAAAGTAAACATACGAGTTAAAATCGAGCTTCAAGATTTAAGCGAAAGTAGGCATGGTAATAAAGTAGTCACAACATGCATGCACTGTTCGATTGGTGTTCATACATTTTGTTTGTTGTTTTGTTTGCTATATTGGCATTGATTGCAATTAATTGCTGTTTATAAATACACGTATTTGCAGCAAGCAAATTAAATTTTCATTTGAATATTTTCTATTTGTTTGAAAATATTTGCCGACTTAGGTTGAGAATTATCGCTTTTAGGTCGGCAATTTCTTGCCGACCTGAAATTTCTGGAGTTTCAAGGACTGATACATGTATACTCAGAATATTCGTAACTCGTCTACTCGTTCACAACAATCAGGGGCCGGTTGTACGAAGGCCGGATAGCGCTATACACCGGATAGTGATTTTTTCAAGCTTTGTTAAATCAGTCGTTGATTGGTATAACTCGTATTAAAGTTTAGTATTTATAAGTTAAATGTTTTTTTTATACTTCTTGTGTCGTCTATCCGTAGTTTCACAGTTTTTCAAGCATTTTACAAAGGTGGATAGCGCCGACCTTCGTGCAACCAGCCTCAGAAGAAGAAAATCGCACTAGAAATCACAGCAAAATTTGCAAGTGTAAACGGGCTTTTGGAAAGCAACTGGATCAGGTTGAGCTGTGTCCTTCGCAATTCAGCTTAGCTCTCAGCTTCAAATAAGGGTGATTAGCAGTGTAAACCAGTCTTACGGTAGTAAAAATTCAATCTTCGATTGAGTTTCGAAACTCAATACTGAAGAAATGGTGGCAAATGTGAATCATTTATTGTAAAAGGAAGAAAGTACTTGATCGTTGTATATTCGTCAAGAATGTTCCGTGCGGAGTGGGGGTGGGGGGGGGGAGTGCTCTTCTACTAAAACTAATGCTCTTCCGAACACACTGTAGTGGACTATACAAAGCTTGAATGTATAAATCCCTGCTCATCTTGATTCTATCCTATTGATGTTAACATATTCATAGAGAAACGAGGTTTATCGTTTCTTACCTTTCTTCCTTCATGAGTCTTTCTTTCACACGTCGAAGATACATTGCAAATGCCTTGCGGGCTTGCAGTTTGCTGAAATTTGATTCACGAAAAATAAGGCGAAGTGAGACGAAATTATAATAAAAAAAACTTCATATTGCAGGAATTGAAACTCTGGTACAGTAGGTACATTAATTACTGTCCCAACGGTCCAACACCCCAAGCTTCACCTTCAGTACCTTATTAGTAATATATACAGCATGAGCGGTCTTGTTGTATTAGATATGCAAACTCCACCCGAAGGCGAGAGGTTGTTGATACAACATGGATGTAAATGCTGCATATACAGTAGCTAGTGAAACGTAAGCATTTCAACAGTTGTGTTTTCAGAAATCACCCAAAAAGTATTCAAATTGTAGCTGAGAAAATCAAGGAGAACCGTTTATGCAAATCTGGAGAATTTTGTACATGTGGATACAACATCTCGTTAAACATTGGTTTATGAATTATTAATGATTCTACGATCCCAGTTACACAAAGAGCTCCCTGACTGTCCATCTATATTTTACCTCAGATCTCCAGCGTTACTGATCACAACATAATATCACAGTTACATAATTATAGAGCTCACTGACTGTCCCTCTATAGTTTACCTCAGATCTCCAGCCTTGCCAATCACAACATAATACTCCAGTTACAAAAATATAGAGCTCACTGACTGTCCCTCTATAGTTTACCTCAGATGAGATCTCCAGTCTTGCTGATCAGAACATAATACTCCAGTTACGTACATATAACTCCCTGACAGTCCAACTATATTTTACCTCAGATCTCCAGCCTTGTTGATAACTTCCTCCATGTGAACAACACTGTGGTTCGTGACGTCAGCATCCTTGGTGATAGGACTCTTGTTTCCTTCATCAGTAAATACCACTTCAGTATGGCGATCTTCTAGTTCTCCTTGGGCTAATGATGGTTGCTGGCTAGAAACTAAAAAGAAAGGTTTACAAAAGTCACACGACCGTTTCGCGTACAGTGGGGAGCCTAGAGGGATCACGCCTTTCGCTATAGGGCAGCTGCCAGCTGGGCCCAAAATGCCAAAATGTTTGATGGATTTACTGGGCCGGGAGAGGGTGCTTACCCAATAACATTGGCCAAGGGGTATGCAAGGGGGTTCCAACTTCCGTGGGAGTGGAGAAGGCGAAGAACACTGTTATACTGCTCCCGGTCATAATGCAGTGATGATGAATCACGTTATGCCTGATAACGAGCTCTTGCTCTGCAACCCCGCCCCCCTCCTACCAAACCAAGCTGGATCCATTCCTACGCATGAGGCCATGGTACCCGCCACCGACTCGTGTAGTAGGGAGACTAGAATTATTGCCTCTTGCTCTTCCCTAATTCCTCATATGAACACCAAGGTTTTTAAACCGCCGTGTACTGTAGACTGCAGTTAATCCGCAATAAGATAAATGATAGAACCCAAGAACTCACATTTACCATCAACTTTTTCCTCACTGTCTTTCCGTGTCACAACTTGTTGTTGTTGTTGTTGTTGTTGTTGTTGTTGTTGTTGAGAAGTAACCTAAATAGTTAACAACCAATCCAAATAAAAAGAGTGAGCCAAAGTGATTTGTGTTAAACTGTTGTGGTGTCCCTGCCTTTCCCTGCATGGGACATGTTTTATATGAGCAGGTGTTTTATAAGTTAAAACACGTAAAAATCTCACAACTTGTCAATAAGATGTGTTCACAATAGGCTTGTAGCAACCTTGTCAACAAGTAGGAACAATGCTGTTATTTTATCAAGTTGCTACAAGGTTGTCACTCAGTATTTGTTGAGAACTTGTTGAATTTATAACAAGTTGTTGGAACAACTTGTAACAAGTCTCAACAACCTTATAGGAAATTATCAACAAGCCGTTGACAACTTGTCAACAACCTGGGAACAAGCAGTGGGAACACATCCTGATGACAAGTTGTTGGAACAGCATTGCTACAAGTCCACTGCAGATTTGTTAAAACTTGTGCGTTTTTATATGTGTATAAGCTAAATAAATAAATAAATAAATAAGAAAATCATCAATAATCACAAACCAAAGAAGGCAGTTGTCGTTCATAACAAATCATTCTTTCATTCAAAGTCTGACCATAGATATAAACATTAGACACGACAGGCACGTCATTTTCATCGTAGGTAATTGTCGGTGCTGACCTAAAACATACAAATTGTAAAACATACGAGTCTTCATTGGACACATCGACTGGACAAATGAGGGCACGATAGGCAATAAATTAATTCTTACTTGTCAAGAAAGAGTCTTGCAAACAACATCCGATTATTTGTTGTTCTGTATTCCAAGTACGAGCTGCAAGAAATTTTACATCACTTTTCAAACGTCTCAAACTCAGTAATAGTTAACGCGGTTAGCGCTCTGCCCCTTATCGCTGGGAATGAGAGCGCTCATATAGATATTATATACTGTATGTCTGGGACGGATCTAGCCTCATCTGCAAGGAGGGATGCAGGCTATCCATGGGGTGGTGCAAGGGCCCTGTTAACCGGGATGATTCGTAAAGCTCTTATCACGGCATTGACAAACAGTGCTCTCACAATCAAATTTTCGAATTCCTTAGAAAAAGCTAGAAAATTCCTCAGATTTCCTTAAAATTCCTTAAATTGGTAAAATTACTACACTTAGGCCTGGTCACATAGTTGCAAAAAGTGTTTCTTCTCCTTTTTTGCTGTTTTTCAGTTTTTCAACCTTGTTTCTAAGCACTAAAAACTGAAAACAATTCCTTAGAAAAATCCTTAAAACTCTTCAAAATTCCTATTTTTAAGGATAATTCCATAAAGTGAGAGCACTGTTGACAAACCTTTCAAAGTTAAACTATCTTAGTTTGATTCCAGTAATACATGTAGTATAAAGTTCATTCAAACGATCTTTTATGGTCAAGAAAAATGTTTCGTGACACGATTTATCACGGCTACCCCGGCTCATGGCCTCATAGTCAGAACAAGCTTTCACAATTGAACTCGACACAACAAGCACGATACGCACCCATAGCGTTCACGAGAGGTCTGTGTAGGAAATATCCTCACAAAATGGCCGCGTCTCATATATTCATCTTTAGTTTCTCGAAACACACGCTGCTCTTCAGCGGTCAAACCACGTTCACTGTCTTGAATTATCTGTTTGTTTTTGTTGTTTGGTATATTACTGCAACTGCTGGATATTGTACGCGTCGATACTGAACCAGCCGACTGACAACGTTGTCTCTGCAGAGAGATAAATGAGTATTGAGTGTTACTGCTGGGTCTTTGAAAACTTATTAAATTAAAAACGTTCATGTTATACACATGCAAGGCCGCCGAGAGGTTGTGTGGGTCCAAGGGGAATACTTTCCCAGGGACCCCTATGATATCATAACTATAAGCTGTACCTATATATATTTGCTTCTTTTTGGAAATTTCCCCAATTTTTAAGTACATTCTTCCTTAATTTATTGCATATTTTCCGGCACTAACGCAGCTAGGATTCATTTTCTCAGTTAACAATCTTGTATCAAAAAATTTTAAGGGCGAGGCCCCTTTTGAACCGGGGCCTGGGGAAAAGTAACCCACCCCCCATCCCTCTCGGCGGCCCTGTATACACGCTTTGGGAATATGTGGAGTATTTACCATACCTGATAGTGGTTTCGAACATGAGGTCCAATGTTTTGTCGACTTGGAACTCGCTTCAACAACGGATCGTGGGCAAGGAACCCTAGTAGGGAAAGATAATATGTAAATATTAATATAATAAACGTATTACGGGTTGTTACAAATCCTGCTTGACTCATTTCCAATTACTAGAGAACTGACTTGGCCGTACAATTATTGTTACCTGTTAAATTGAACATGTCTGTCAAAAGATTTGATTTGATCTTCAAATCCATCGGTGAATCACTGAACAAAAACATATAGGATACAATCAGTATACAGGTAGACCTACAGTAATCACAAGTGTTTATAATGTCCGTTGTCCCCAATTCACTCATATATATATATATATATATATATATATATATATATATATATATAAATAACTAATACTATACTTCAAATTCAAAGTGTCCAATCAGAAAGCTAAATTTGTGCACGTGAGCATGAAATTTATCATCATATATGTGATTTGAAAGAAAAGTGACAAATACCTAGTAACGTTAATCAAAAAATAAAACATATTCACGAAGGTATGTAGCAAGTTTTATATTCTCAACTTGGAGGCTTTTAATTTTCGGTATAATATTATTTATCGACCCTCGGCTCGGGGGATTCGGCGAAATAATACTCTCACTCTCAGTGACGATATTTCATCACTTCGGGTAATATTTTTCCGAATCCCCCCCCCCCCCGCTCCAGGTCTACAGTATAAATGACAAATGTCATATACACGAAAACGAGGCTCTATAGCCAAATGGACCAACTTTCCGGAAGGGTGCATTTTGTGACAAATTTTGTAAAGTATAAATGAATTACCATGCCATTGAAGGTGATAAATTAACTTCCATCAACCAAGGTTTTAGACTGTCATCAATCAATACATCAAAACCATAGATCTCTAAAAATAACGGGAAACTAATTTACTTACAAAAAATTTCCATCCATGCTTAAAGTATTACTATATAGGACCATCTTTTCAATTTAATACAGTTTTAAGGCATAACGGTAGCGTTTAACTTACCAAAGCAATTTCCACGGTGAGGGACAAACATTTTACAAGCTGTCGCGATTGGTATTTCCCCGCAAATCATCGTCTTTACAATCACATCTTCAATCTTTGCCACAAGACCTTAAAGGAACCATCGTCATTACAAATAAACGTCTCATAAGAGCACAGGATACTTTATTAAAAGCTTTATAAGAACCACTATGGTATACGTTGTTCTACGTACTGGATGTATCGACGCCTCTAGCTTTTAGAAATCTCAGCAAAGCTCCAAAACTCCATTTGTTGCCGTAATCTTCGACTTCTGGGTCATTACAACTAAAGGTAGTTTCAACGTACATTACAGTATGAAGGCTTTCAGTACACCTTAACACGGGAAAGCGTAAAATGGCCAAGTTCAGAAATGTTGACACTTAAATCTGGCGCGGTGGTTATCCATCAGACACAGAAACTTTAAAGTGTGACTAACCCCTAATATAATTTTTTGTATGTATAATACATGGGTCATTCTAAGAAGAATTGTAATATATCTTTATAATAAAAAACCTCATCTTGATCAACTTTTTCACTATCAAATTTTCCGGATATGATGTCATTGGATGAACTGCAAATTAGTTTTCATTTGGTTTTTGCTACAAAAATTCACCTACTGACATCATATCCGGAAACTTTGATAGTAAAACAGTTGATCAAAATGAGGTTTTTTACTATAAATTTAATAAAGACATATATTAAATTTCTTCTTAGAATGACCCAAATATTACACATACAAAAATTCATATTCGGGGTCAGTCGTACTATAAGTCCTATAGCAGCTATAGATCCGACATAGTATTACGCATGCGAACATACAATATTCACATTTTTATAGACAATAATTTTTTTATGAACCTGTCCAGCACTCTATCTAACCCTTCCCGGTTCTTATCCTAATCGGAACGGCCACTTGTTTGCAGGTAGAAGAACTCTTGAAATTCCACTCCTAGATTCAATCTGGGCGATAGCACATGCAAGGTAAGTGTCTTAACCACTCACCACTCGACTACTAAGGAATTGCTTGAAATCCACTGAAATCTATTTGGTATCATTTTAGCATGTTTAAAGAACGAGGAAAACACTTTTGTCGGATCTATATAGCCAAATAACTTACGGTGTCGGAAGAATAACCATGACGTAAATTTTGTGCTGTTAAAATATCCGTTGCCTATAACCTACCTGACGTAATCATCATTCTTCTTGTTCACACTGTAGTTGGTCAGATGCATGCAGGAGTTCTTGATATTACGGTTACTCTTGTCGTATTTCACTGTCGCAAACCTAAGAATATTTAACAATTATTGAATGAGGTTGAGCACGATATGAAGAATTAGCAAGCCGGAAGTTTGCCGTTATCAACCGAAGCCGAAGGCTGAGGTCGATAACGGCAAACTGAGAGCTTGATATATTCTTCATATTGTGCGAAAACCGAATTCAATAATTGTTTTATTATTTATTTTAAAAATTCAAAACAAACATTTGCATTTTATTTGTATTAAGAAAAAAACAATTCCTTAGACCTTCGGCAGCCGTCGTTGCGTAATATCAATGGCGTCCGCGAGTCAATATGATTCTCGTCGTCATAGTAATATGGCGCAAACGCGTCCAAATTTTTTTATATTGACTCTTTGACGTCATTTTGCTAATATGAATGTGAAAAATCCGTATTTGGTTAGCGATTGATTTGATATGACAATTTCACAGTTGGCTGTTAGCCAATCAGAAACCAGGAATTTTTTAAATAAATAATAACATGTTTTATGTAATTAATCTCTGGGGCTGGTAAAGAGTAATCTCTGGGGCTCGTTTATTCAGCAGTTGAATACTAAAAACACCACACCCATTAGAAATCTTGGGAGGGGGGTCGTTTATTCATCAGTCGAATGCTAAAGCACTACAACCTTATTAATACAAACTCAAACGGTCTGCATTTGCCAGCGCAGGTAGTGACAATATATGACATTAGAAAACTGCAAATTAAGAGGGATTCGACTACCTGAGAAATACAAGTAAACCTTCGACTTTTTGAGCGATGGCCCTTCGTCGGGAAATTCAGTAGTAACTTCGAAGGCCCTTGACTCAAAAGGTCTCCAAGGTGAGCAGCCTCTAGTTGATAGAACAATGTAGGTAAGGGAAGTCAGCAAAATAGATCCGTAACTTCGGGAAAAGGATTGGCTCTAAGGGTTTACTTGTATTTTTCAGGTAGGGCCAAAAAAAAAAATATGTGGGTTTCCGGTTTCTTCTTATAAAAACTTAGGTAGGGTAGGTCGGCTTTAACTTTTTTTTTTAAACTTTTTTTTTAATTTTCCGAATAAGCGGACGCCATTTTGTTTAGTCAGTGCTTCCACATCCAAAGATAAATTTCCTTAATATTGCCTCAAATTTCAATTTTCCACAAACTTTTTCCTCTAAGTGGAAACACTTACAAGCATGATCCAATAAAAAAGTTTAGGGTCGGGATTTCGACGTCCAAAAGCTAGGTAGGGTCGGGAAACCGGAAACCCACATATTTTTTTTTGGCCTAGTTGAATCCCTCTTATTCCGCAGTTTTCTGGTCCAGTCTTATTAGCCTGCGTGGCAGGTGTTTATTTGCTTAGCAAATATCATTCTATCCATAAGTTAGATGTATACTACCTACTAAACCCCTAAAAAAGCGCCCTCACTTTCAGCTAATTCTTACAAAAACGACTGCAACTTACTGTATACTTGGATACTGACTATTTTTTGGTATACAGTACTGTACATCAACTATTGTGCTTTTTCAATACGTACCTGGTTAAGCCTTCTTCATATAGGTAGATACGTAATGGGTCAAAGGATGTCACACCAACATATAAACGCAAGTCAAACTTAAATCCTATAGAAAACAAGAACCAAATACTCATGGTTTTAAGAGTTGGGTACCTGGGGTGCTTTGTCAGCGCCATAACTTGAGAGAGACCCCAAAATTTTACTGTATTTCAATAGACCTTTCCCCTTTTAAGTGAAATTTTGATCTAGACAAGTCCGGACAAAATTAGTAATATTCCAAAGTTTTGTTGCAAAATGTTGTAAAATGCGGATAATATAGCCTTGCAAAGTTTGCCGTTTTTCAGTCATTTTGCATTACAAACGGAAATTGATAATCAGATGATCAAATTGATTATCAATTTTCCATTTGTAATACAAAATGACTGAAAAACGGCAAACTTCGCAAGGCTATATTATCCGCATTTTACAACATTTCGCAACGAAACTTCGGAATATTACTAATTTTGCGATGTTCTTTCAAGCTGTGATGAAATTTTTGTCCAGGCTAGTTTAGATCAAAATTTCACTTAAAAGGGGAAAGGTCCATTAGATTGAGTAGACGTTCATTTCTTGTACTCACCGTCGACAAGTAAAGGATTGGAAATATATTTGGAAACCAATAATGTGTCGTCAAGTGGAATTTGACTTGGCTAGAAATTGTTAATATTTAAAACATTGTTTAGATTAAACTGATTTTGGCCCTGATTGCAGGAATTGAAACACAATTAATCTCAGATATCATGCTCAATACATACATGATTGATCAGAAAAATTCCACGGCCACGGGATGAGGCTACTGGCTTCACAATCCATAAACCTCTTTGTTTTGCAAATGATGCTACACAATAAAAAATGAGTTAAACTCAAACAGGGTTCGTAGTCTCCAAGACCAAAAAATTTCAAAGACTTTCAAAGACTTTTTCTGCCTATTGTCAAAGACTTTTCAAAGACCTTTGAGAGCAATCAGGTGTCGAAAAATTACGATGTATAAGCACCATTTTTACCAGGTAATTAGTCCCGTCAAATCACATCCTAAAATGCACTTTTTCGTCGATATTTGCGAAAATCGTGCTTCAATCAATCTATTTTATTAGCTAGGAAATTGTATAATCAAATAATCACTGAAGAATTTAAAGACTTTTAAAGACTTTCTTCGCTTTTTCACACAATTCAAAGACTTTTCAAAGACCTTAAAGACCTTAAAGACCTGCATTCAAATTTAAAGACATTCAAGGATTTCAAAGACCGCTACGAACCCTGTCAAACCAATAAATTCAAATTGAAATATTATTAAATTGCATCTAATGCTTAGCTGTAGATAAAAAAACAATGAACTGATAACGTTGGTAAAAAAGAACTGTACCACAAAATTGGTTGTATTCAGATGGGCTGACATAAGCTTCAGGAATGAAATCAAAATTTCTAAAGCCCTAGAAAATACAGGCAAACATAGAATTAATGAATTTTAAGCGTGTAATATAATATTGTTTTTAACCCTTTAAATGGCAATGTGCTCTGATGTGCCCTACTTTATAATTTTACTCTGTTTAATGCCAGATATGATTTTATTTGTTAAGGGGAGAGTCTTAAATGAAAGAACTCTTTAAGTTGTAGTGTAACTTATTTTTCAGTTTCTTATTTTTATGCTTTGTTCCCGAGATATTTCAATTTGTTTGATATGTAAATGAGTGTGAATATGTCTGCTAATTTATGACGTCATGTTGGTTGCAAGCTCTTCAAAATTGTTGAATATCACTGCAGCAGTGCTATCATCCAAGATGATAATTTCAAACTTCACTCACTGGTAAATGTGATGAAACACTGGAGAAAAACGTAAACTGATATCAACAGTTTTTAGAGTTAACACATTAAAAACCAGTGTAAGTTGAGCTTGCAACCAACGTGACGTCATAAATTAGCGGACATATCAAACAAATTAAATTTGATATTTACATATCAAACAAATTTGATATTTACATATCAAACAAATTAAAATATCTCGGGAACAAATCATAAAAACAAGAAACTGAAAAATAAGTTATACCACAACTTAAAGAGTTCTTTCATTTAAGAAAATAAAACATTTCATGTCATATGCACTTTAAGAGTTTCATTATTTCAATACCTTGCTACTTTGCATTTTCTGAATATTCTGGTACAGTCTGTCCTTCCTTGTGAGTTCATAAGACCTTGGAAAGTGGTTAACTTTCTGAAACTCCTGCAGACCACGTAATGTATGAGGCTTGAGATGTGAACCTGTCCACATCAAGTTGAAATCTGAACTGTTTTGATGGACCTGCAAGAAATACAATACTACTCAAATTTGGTCCTCTTATAAAGAATTAACAAACATAAAACCTATAGTTGTGATAATAAATATATACAGGGTGTCTAAAAAAAACGCTATGGAAATTCAACAGGCTGTTGTGCATCACAAACTTAACTAAACAGTTCAATTTTTACATAGGACGAAAGAGCTGTTATTTAGCTTTTCTATGATACCTTTCTTAAACCGTAACGATGAGAAATGGTCACACACTCGTCAAATAAAAATTGTCGGTTGAAATCACATTCTTCCACCGTTGGGAATGGACCATTTGCATTATAGACTAAATTTTGATCTAGACAAAAATTTCATCACAGCTTGAAAGAGCATCACAAAATTAGTAATATTCCAAAGTTTCGTTGCGAAATGTTGTAAAATGCGGATAATATAGCCTTGCGAAGTTTGCCGTTTTTCACTCATTTTGTATTACAAACGGGAAATCGACAGCCCAATCGGGTGTTGGGGCATCAATTTCCTTTTTGTAATACAAAAAAACTCATTGCAGTTAAAAGATCTAAAAATAGTTCTTGATAATTCATAATTTGGAACGTAATTCATAAAATGTACAAGTCCAGCGTTAACGCCTTTAAATTGCGCAATTGCTTAAAAAACCTCTGCTGTAACAGAGTTTAATTTGAACTCGTCTATATGTTCATCTTTCGCACGAAATGGCGATCTAAATCCTCTCGTGCACAAATGCACTGATTTCAATATTTCGAAAGACAATCTTGTTCTGATCCAGGTAATAACTGTTGCGTAATCTTCTCCGTTTTTCCTCGACAATTTCTCGGCAAGATGCTTTAAGAATTTCTGGCATTCGTCTCCAACTCCTCCATTCGTTCCAAAGACTAAAGGCGTAAATGTTCCCATTTCCACGTCTAAGATTCTCTGTTGGTACTTTCTTTTCTTCTCGGCTTCTTGTTCCTTAAAGATATCAGATGTGGCTTTGTTTTGATGACATTGGGAGTTTACATGCGATACACGGACGTCAAAAAATGATGTAACTCCTCTTGCCCAAAACTCGCCAGCTTTGATATCCAATCGCGCATCCGGGCTTCTGTTGGTGGACTGTAAACGGAATTGTTCATTGTCCAATGGCATGATTTTCGGTTCGGCTTCCACGTTGTTGCATACTCTGCTGAGCAGCGTGGTCAGTAAATCACGAACACCGTCATGCCTTCGGGCCACAAAACCTCCTCTTTTACACGATAATGCGTGGTTGACGGAAAATGCAGACCCACAAACGCAATGACTTGGCAAGTCGGGCAATGGCATGCCATACCGCATTCTTATCGAATCCTTAAATTCTTCTTTGTTGAGGTTCAAACCTTGTTCTTCAACCGGTATAGCATTTAACCATGAGCTTGCTCCTTTATCCCGCGCTTGTTTAACAAGAAGTAGGAGATCGGCTGGGAGAGACTCGTCGATACGTTCTCTTTTTGTATTGGCATTTGCCCTCTTGATTGACTGCTGTTCGTTTTTTATCTCGTTAGTGATCTCTGGCATGGAAGTGCATTGCGATAATATTGCCTCCACATGTGGACGTGTTATTGACGTCGATGGTGCGTACTGTTGTGGCGCTTCTTCACTTAATGCAGGTATCCCTAAACCTCCTTGTGCAGGGGACAGTGTGGTAACTTCGTGCAATTCTTCAGGCAGAGGCTCTTCTTGGCCGAACAAAGCTGGGAGAAACAACTCACTTATGGCTTCCTCGATAGGGTTAATATAATCTTCAAAGGAGCTTATCGTTCGCATAAAATATGTAAACTTCGATTTGAAGCCCTTTGTGAAAGCAACATAGGCTGAATGAGGTTGACTTTTTGCAATATCACTTAGTGCTTCGATTTCTTCTCTCCAACTGTTGACCTTTTCGTTGCAGTACTCTTCTTTGTAATTTGTAGAACCAATAACTGCGCCCAGATGTCGCCTTCCTTCAGTTGTTATTTTCACCTCGCTTCCAAACACCCGTTCTGCTTCTGACGCCAGAAGTTGTGATTTAACAATCAGCCAGCTCTTA